TTTTCATCATATTTGAAATAACTTGTTGAAAATACACTTTATGACACTGTCATAAAGCATTATGACCATCCTGTGTCACTTTACTTCGACTAAGGAAATACACTTTATGACACTGGCAAGAAGCATTGTGACCATCATAATCATAATCATATAAGCCAGATAGTCCTATCAGTCATCAGTCGAAAAGCGGGTGTCTTGTCCTGCTCCTCAAATCTGCTCCTGCATTCACCCTAGTCATCAGAAATAGAGCACTGGGTACATGTCTGACATCAATGTGTGCACAATTACAATTATAATTTAATATGGTCAATTTCAGAACATTTTATATAACATAAACATACTGTTGACAAGGAGACTATGGTGTAATGGAATGTTTTGCCTTGTGTGGTAGATTTTGTGGGTTTTGACACTCTTATGTAGGTTTAATAACCAGCCATAAAAGAACTACCGTTGTAGGTTTTGTGGGTTTTGACACTCTTATGTAGGTGTCATAACCAGCCATAGAAAAACGCAATATATGTCACAACATGTCTAAATATATGTGTCATGACAGTGTTATGACCATATTATGACAGGTTATGACAAGTTATGTCAGCTGTTATGACATATTATGACATGGTTAGGACTGTGACGCTGGGTGTCACGTAAAGTGTTACCATATATTCAAACAGTGCCTCAGATTAGCAGGAGTGGTCCTTGAGTGGCCTCTCCTCCTACAGACACTTGCGTAAAACCCCTGCTTCATTGTTCATTCCTCCCGCAGCCATTGGACAGGCCTATAATTTACTTTAATTTGCCTACTGTAACGTATGATTAGCCTACAGGTTAGGGTGCTAAATCTAGTGGGCCTCTATAGGTTTATAATGGGCTGCAAAATAGCGGTGTTGTAGCGAATTTGGAGCGCAGCTTGACATGGGACACCTACACACGCATAGCCCCCAGTCTCCAGGATCCCAAGATAATGTGTTTAATTGGGTGTGCTCACGTAGCCAACATAGCCTTTGTTTGTGCTCATAACACACCATGGCTGTTAGCAGAGTGTATGCCCATAGTGTGTGTGTATATGTGTGTGTGTGTGTGTGTGTGTGTGTGTGTGTGTGTCTGTGTGTGTGTGTGTGTGTGTGTGTGTGTGCGCGTGTGTGTGTGTTTGTGTGTGTGTGTGTGTGTGTGTGCGTGTGTGTGTGTGAGTTATTAGATCATTTGATTGATAAGCATGAGTGCGTAGTGACGCCTGTTTGAACGAGTGTTTTAGATCATTAGCTTGATGGCCATTTGTTTGTTTTGCCCCTACTTTTTACTGCCCACACACACACACACCTGCATACACACACACAACCTGGCCATCTCTACCTATGTATGTAACCACGGTTCCTCCTTCTGAAAATAATCTGTGGCATAACATTTTCCAGGTCCTAATACTTATACTGTAATAATATGGTTATTATGTGCTAAAAGATTACTTAAGCCAATTCTAAAGCATAGTTTCACCAGGTCGTCTACCTGCAGGCATTTCAACGGTGGTGGGCGTGCACAGCAAAAGGGAGCCAGGGAGACATGCACTTAAACAAATCCCTTACGTTTATCTTGAAATATAACTGAGACTTTATTCAAAAAATGTTGACTTTATTCTCAAAATTACATTGAGTTTATTATTAAAATAAAATGTTGACTTAATTCTCTAAATAAAAATTTTACTTTATTCTCTAAATATTTCTACTATATTCTCTAAATATTGTCATTTTATTCTCGAAATATTGCCACTTTATTCACAAAATGTAATTTTGACTTTATTCTCGAAATATTGCCCCTTTAATCTCAAAATATGGTCACTTTTTTAAAGTACTATTGTGCAAAAAATATAATCCAAGTACCACCACCAGTCGCAGTAAAAACATTTTTTCTCTTCACTTGGCCCTAATACTCTTCTGTACAAAACTACCTCCATTCGATTGTATGGGTTACCTTCAGATGAGTCCCGTGACACTTGTGGGTGTCATACAGCAAAACGGAGAACACCATCGTGGTCATAATAGACTCTACAGATGTTTTTGTGAAAATACCAATTTTTGGGATGTCTCGTGGTCTGACAAACACTGCTGTAGCTCGGCCACCTTCCCACGCAGATGCGGAAGGCCGACATAGGTGGATGCGGTGGATTGAGATGCAGCCCATGCAAACAACCTGATATCTACCTTAAACTGACTGATTTTTATGGGGATTATTTTTGTTTTGTTACTTAGATTGACGCACGGGTGCATCAATAGACTCTTAAGGATTTTTTACATCTGAAGTTCCTACTCTATCTTTACTCCATTTTATACAGGATTTATTGTGACCTTAGGCCTCCCAATTTAGCAGGAAATCAACATTGGAACAAAAACACTTCACTCACATCTCTGGAGTGACAGATGGACTGTGGCACTCAGATGGTGCTTTTTGTAAACACGACACCTCAGTGCCTTAGAGCTGACATGTGCTGTCCCGATCAGTAATTGGACAGATTTGTAGATCCTTCCGCATGATTGGATCCGTGGCAGCGGATCTGGCCTCCCGTGGAGAGTTTGATTCGGGCTAAAAGACCCCTGATCTGTTTGAGCACATTCAGAAATGACTGTTTCTTTGTGACTGTAAAATCTGCATTAGGCTGGCATTAATGGTATAGGATATACATTAGCCTTGATGGCACCGTAATCACCATGGCACATACCCTTTCCCTCCACTGATCCAGACAATACACACAGCTGAAGAACAGATCTGCCTTAGTCCTGTTTTACACTGGGTCTTATGACATCCCTCCATCTCCTCTGTGTACCTTTGATAGTTAGATCTTTCTGTAATTACACCCAAACTGAATGGTACCATTAGAACCATGAATGGAGCGTCTAAGTGTTTGGTATGTTTGTCCTCATTGATTCATATACCATGACTGTAGAATAGAATAGAAAAGAATAGACAGGATACATTTCTCGCCATCCCACCGCATTACAACACTTTAAAAACTGTTGTTTTGACTACACAGGAAAATCAGAAATGTTAAACTAACTCGCTGTAGTGTTCATTTTAACACTATTGCAGTGTGTGTATATGCATCCACTCTCAACAGAGCGAATTTCACACTTTCAAAAGTGTTCAAGTGTTAACATTAAGACAGTGTTTCTGTAACCCTATATAGAATAGAAAATGTACACTGGCTGTGTGAAATTCACAATATCACTGGAGTGAACTAATTAGTATTTCACTCTACTATAATGAAATGGTGTATGGAGTAAAGCTATATTTGCATATTTCCCAGGATGCCTTTTCTTTTTGAGTGAATTGTAGAGTTACCACCCATGACTATACTGTTAGTGGCACAGACATGGTTGTTGAATACTTTCCTTTATTACATTTACGTCATTTAGCAGACGCTCTTATCCAGAGCGACTTACAGTTAGTGAATACATTATTTTTGTTTTTAAAAAATTATACTGGCCCCCCGTGGGAATCGAACCCACAACCCTGGCGTTGCAAACGCCATGCTCTATCAACTGAGCTACATCCCTGCCGGCCATTCCCTCCCCTACCCTGGACGAATTGTGCGCCGCCCATGAGTCTCCCGGTCAGGCCGGCTGCGACAGAGCCTGGATTCAAACCAGGATCTCTAGTGGCACAGTTAGCACTGCGATGCAGTGCCTTAGACCAAGTGAGTTCCAAGGCGAATGTTATCATTAAAATCAAAGTATGACAATACACTGTACATTACATATTGTATATCATAAGGACTTTGATGGCCTAGTTTTATCCTAACTCAGTGGTGTTAGGAAACTCCTGGTTTACAGGCCACATCAGGCTTGCAAGTCACTTTATGCTGGCTTGCAAAGTGATGTGTAATTCCTATTGAAATACAGACAGTGTTAGGATATCCAACCATTGGAATATTTATTCTCCCACCGCCTGCATTCAGAATGACAATCAGAATAATGGAATTTGGTAAAGGAGGCTACCTAAACCATTTAAACTGGAACAACCATTTCAGTAACGGGTGCAATAAATCTAACTAACTGATTGGATTAGTTTACAAACATTTTATTTATGTATCTTTGTGTAGCATAAGATACATCAATCAATCAATGTACATGCAAAAACACAGATGTGAAAAACAATCCTAAAAAATAAACCTGTAGTAAAGCATGCTGTGAAATATGATAATAATGGGCCTGGATTTGATGGGACTGTTTTATGATCCACAGTGTAAAGGAATAACTCTGGTTATTAACACCAACACTGGGGGTTATTTTACACCACAGTCTTAATTTCAATCTTGCAGAGTGCATTTAACTCCTGAATCAACACTAGAAATGTAACAATGAAAAATCACACTTTCCAATTTGCTGTGTAGTGTGTAGACTGATGTGGTTGAGGTCTGCTTTGATTACTGTGTTCTGTTGTTGGAGTCTTTAGGACACATGCGGACGTTCGCATAATGACAATGAATAGGAATGGTGCGTATCTCTCCAAAGGGCACTAATGCTGACACACGACTTTGACTGCGGTGAAGATGACTTGGAGGCGAATCTAAAGCTCTAATAAGTTGCTCAGAGTCATTCACTGCGGAGCTGAAAGGAGAGATGAAAAGCAGCAACGTGCGTGCGTTGTCACTCCTTTTTCCATCATTTGCTGCCCACGGTGAATAGCAGCGCGGCGCGGCTGCTGCTGCGCACAAACACACAGACCCAGGCGTGCGCTCCCTCCAATCCACACGTTTTCATCTCTATCTCGTTCATTCCGGTTCCAGTGACCGACCAGGGGTGACAGAAAACGGCTCTGTGAACATCACCATTCAGCAATGCATTATAACGAGCATTAGTGGCAGTAGGAGCAATGTGGGGCTGACAGGAGCTATGGTCAAGCTGCTGCGCTAGGCTAGGGGCGAAGAAGGCGGAATGAACACAGAGGTGGCGGGGCTTTCTCTCCTCAGTGAAGTGGATTGTTAAATGTTCCTTTCTCTTCCTTTGACGAACATGCTTTATTTTCAGCTGGTGATCATGGCGGGGACGGTCATGCTGGCATACTACTTCGAGTACACTGACACGTTCAACGTGCACGTCCAAGGGTTCTTCTGCTATGACAATGTCTACGCGAAGCCGTACCTCGGACCAGAGGAGTCCAGCGCGATCCCTCCCGCTCTACTGTATGCGCTCGTGGCAGGGGTCCCTACACTTGTGGTGAGTTTGTCTATATTCACAATTTCTATGATGTGGGTATATTTGAATAGGATAACAGAAGTATGCTGTTAAGATTTTTCAGAAAGAGGTTAACGTTCGATAGCCTAATTTCAGTTACAATTGTTTAATTTGCTTGTCGATTGGAAATGAACTTGCATAATGCAATCGATGAAAATACACTGTGCTTAGAATATAAACACTTGCAGACAGCAATTGATTCCTGTCTCGAGTTGCCATAGCAAGCAATTACTGTAGCTTATACAAGTTGCTTCAGACTGGCATTTCATGTTACTGACCCTCAAGAAACTGTACTCTGTATCTTTAAATCAGGACCATTAATTCATAGACAAATAAAGGCCTAGATCAAACATGCAAAATAGTTATAAAATCAGTACAAGGCTAAAAGTCTTATATCAGTGGTGGCACAACACACATGTATAGGGGCAATAATACTCTTAAACAGATTTAGGTGCCTATATATGATTAAAGTTTCGCTAGGCTCAACTAAACCACCTTGGGAGCCATGCAGTCTTTGATGTCAGACAGGCTTCATTACAATGCCCTGCTCTATTTTCTGGTTTCATTAATTAGATGATGTCCTCATTCCATTCAAGCTGTCAACATGCAGCTTCTGCACTCTCTGCAGACAGTAGTGCTGCGCCCCAAATGTCACCCTATTCCCTATATAGTACACTACTTTCGTTTTGACCAGAGGGCTCAAGTGTAAAGTAGTGCACGGGAATAGGGTGCCATTTCAGACCCAGCCTAGGTCTATGGTCTATAGAAAGGGTGTTCTAGTCCAGGGGTATTCAACTCTTGCAAGGGCCAGAGCCTGCTGGTTTTCTGTTCTACCTGATAATTAATTGCCCCCACCTGGTATCCCAGGTCTAAATCAGTCACTGATTAGAGGGGAACAATGAACAAACACAGTGGAACCGGCTTCTAGGTCTAGAGTTGAGTTTGAGGGTTCTAGTCAATGGGTGATGTAGTTCTAGTGATACATTCTTCTTTAAAAAATGCCACTGACTGTATATTTTCCATTCATAGGTCAGGTTATGGCTATAGTCCAGTTATTTTTATACAGTATATGCATGCATGGAACTGACTGTACACAGAGTTCTTCCTCTTTTGACACCTGTACCTGACTTTTCTTGTATAGACAAATCACAACACCCACATACTGCATCCCACACACTTCCAGAACAGTCAGGAACCTAATATAGAAACCATAGATAATATAGCAGGCTCTATGACAGAAACCCTCTCCTTCAAAACACTGTAGAATGCAGGCTAATACATCAGGCGTAACAATGATAATTCTGTAGGCTATACTTGACTCTTACCACCCCAGATACTGAGTGAAGGATTATGTCTCAGGTTAATGATCACAATTTGTAATATATTTAATAACAAGGTTGAATAATGCTTTAGAACATCAACTAAAGTTTCTGTATTTGAAAAGTGTTAAATGAAGATTGATGGTTCTTTCTGCAAGCCAAACCCAATATGGTTTCTGGCCACTGTTCTCCATGCAGGATGACATTCATGCCTCTGCAGATGACAAGCATTTGATGGACAGGATGCCCATAGGGGTCATTCCCTCTAGCCTACAATGCAGCGTTTGTTCCCTATTCCTGAAAGAGGTTATCACTGGCATATTTTAGAGGTTGCTGCTTGTCAGGATTCCCTGTTGGACTGAGTGTAGAGGATCATATGGTTGTAAGTCCTATCTGACTGGCATCTCCAGTCTCCAATGCATTCAGATGCATTGTGCGTTCATTTAAATATTTCAGATCCCATCCACCATTTTTCGATTTGTCTGACATTATTTTTTACACTTTGTTAAGTCGAGGATGGTGTTGAGACATATGATTATTTCAATGTTGTAGTGTAAGTGTGATGCTCATAAACAACATTAAGTTCTTACAGTTCACTAACGTTGAGGTTATCTAAAATATACAATTGTATTATCCCAAAAACTTTTGTTGATATATTCTATGTTGAATATCTAGTCGTTATACGAGAGAGCACTGACCGAATATCGGGTTTTGTGGTAACAGGTACACACACGCGCACTAAACCAACTGAGTGAAAGTGTCTGTAAGATGGATGATGACCTAAACAGAATCACACATTCAGTTCCATCCCAGGCTGGATGAAAACCTCTTTTGGTGCCACGTAGTGTGTGTGTGTGTGTGTGTGTGTGTGTGTGTGTGTGTGTGTGGTGATCTATTACAAAGCAGTGTTGGCAGAGAAGATACTGCCTCCTTAAAATGTGCTGCTCAGAAATGTCTTATTGGATTTACAGTGGAAGTAAAAGCAGAGCATTCTGATTGGTCGGCAGAAGGTGTACTGAAGTTTAATAGACATGGGGTTGCCTATATATTGTAATTGGTATGTACAGCAGGTAGACACTAAAACTGTAAGTGCTGCAGACTTTCTTGGCACCCTATTCCCTATGCAGTGCACTAGTTTTGACCAGGGACCATTTGGAACATGGACCCTGGTCAAAAACAGTGCACTACAAAGGGATTAGGTTGCCTTTTGGGACTCAGCATAGATTGAGCAGGCCAGTTGCAGTGCGCTGTAGTTGTCATGTCTACCATGCACAATCCTACATACAATTTCCCTTTACATTGATCTTTTGAATTAAGAAATTGGTTGACTGCCATTTGGCATAATCAAAACATCCCAGAAATATTAATGTATTTAAAATGATCAATTTGTTTGATAATCGCCAGACATGTAAACCACATTAAGATGTAAATACTCCTATCGTTTAGATTAGAAGTATCAGGTTATAAGTATTTATAAGTATGGTGTGTGTGTGGATCATATATTGGAATGTAACTGTTAAGAGTTAAAATCAATGTTTGATGAATGTCTTTACATGGGATTAGAGAATGTGTGCGTGTTTGGATTAGACAAAAAAAGCATGACAACGAACATAGTGGTTGATTCTAAACAAAAGAAAACAACACATGTATGCGCACACAAACACACACACACACAAACACACTGCCATTGTTAGTGCCTAATTTAATGACAGTCAGCGGATAAACTCAGACTCTTTGGTGAATCAAATTAGATTGATTGCAGTTTAGCCAACACTGCATATTGGCGGTTGAAGTCTGGGGTAAGTAAGAAAGTTTCAATCCAATCATGCATTAGCCTGGAACACTACATTGTGGTACATACTGTAGTACCCATGGTATTAAACAAATGTCTGCAACACTAGACCTGTTGCAGTTCAGTTTTAATTAAAGTTGTACTTGTTCTTCTACTTACTTATCCAGAGGTGTAACACAGTGTAAGAGACTGTATTTCTACAGACACTAATAAATACTGCATTCTCCCTACACTGCAACAGTTTGATCTCAGACGCAGTTTACTCAGAACTTCTCACCACTTGCATGGAAGTAGTGAAAATTGTAGTTAGGCGTTTTAGCAGAGCATAGCTGAGTTGTGGTGAATGTCTTTAAAACAGCGCTCGCTTCTTGACACACCACTTAAAGAGACAGCATGAATAATGCAAGGTAGAGATACAGTCGGCCTTATGCTTATTCCTACCGTCTGATTGCAACATTTAGCAATTTCTGCATAATGGGTTTGAACTTTTTGGGTGGAAAAATGTTTTCTCAAACTCTCAAGGAAAGATTATATGATGTCATTTATTCAAAGAGAGTACTACTGTTCTAGTTGTTGATTTAGCCCACATTGAATGCTTTGAATTCAGCGTATTGGGTATGTAGGGCAATGGTATCTTTTCCTTCCTTCATAGCTCCTAATTTCAGTTTGATGGTGGGTTGATGAGTATCATGGTATGTAGGTTGGCTGTTGGCTACTGAAAATAAATAAATAATTGATCATAATAAATAAATAATTCTCATTTTTCTTCCAAGCCAATCAGTGATTCTGTTCTGCTGCAAGTCCTATTAACCCCTGGGGTTTGGTTGTGGTTAAAAAACCCTTACCGCTCAATCTCAACCGCCATCTTTTATTTATGACCAATATGCAAATCTCCATCTTCATTTAAGAACAAGTGATTAGCATTTCAGGGCACACAATGGTTTAGCTTAGGGTTATGAAATATCATTGTGTGGTGGTGATGTGCTTAAAAAGTCATGAGAGAGAGCGAGAGAGAGATGGGGGGGGCTTAGCCCAAGAGCAAGGAGCAACAACCCCACAGCTAGCTAGCTAACTTTCAAAGGATTAATATTCAGAGTATATATCTTTCCTCATATGAAACACTTCAATAACCCTCACTAATAACCTCCAATGTGATGGGTCTAGCTCATCAAAATCGAATACAGTTGGACTGATGGCTGCCTTGAAGCCTGCCTGCCTGACTGTCTGACTGCCTGACTAACTGACTGCCTGACTGACTGCATGGACAACTTCAAATATCCTTCGTCCAGCCAGTGACGTAGCCTCTCAGTGCCAAACATATTAGGATACAATGGACAAACATATCACACCAGGTTTACTACTTCAGGTCTAGATGAAGACATATTGAGTCATACTGTCCTCTTAGGCCACCAGAGAGAGGGCTAGTTAAACAAACACCATTTTGCTCTCCTCTCACCCTGGACCTGACAGGCTTTAGAAGTCACAGGGAAACTGGGACAAATGGCCTCAGTCGCTAAGGGAACAGTAGTTGGCATTTAGCGGCTCCTCTCTGTGTGTGTGTGTTAGCGCTGAGAAGGACGTCTGGATGGAGACATGGTTGGCCTGTTAGGCCGTGGCGGTCGCGCTCCCACGTCATGGTGATGCGATGCTAAGTGATGTTACTGGGCCAGGGTAGCAGAGTGACCGTTACCCATCTGCATCTCAGTTCACAGCTGTGTGTGTGTGTGTGTGTGTGTGTATATGTGTGTATATGTGTGTGTGTGTATATGTGTGTATGTGTGTGTGTGTGTGTGTGTGTTAAACGACATACACCTCTGCATCAGCATGGGGCAATGGTAGTATTGGATTCCACATCACTGTTGGCACGCACACACACACACAGCACAAGGGTCAGTTTGATGGTGTTAAAGACAGTATCGATCAAGGGCCAGGCCTAACACCAACCAGGAAATAAATGCATTCACATCACATCAGCAAAACCTAGAACGCCAGCTGAGCAAAACACCATAAAACAGCATAGTAATGTCAGTGTAAGCAGACACAGACAGCCACACTAACTAGTTAAACTGCTGTCTTCATACTACTTAGATACTGTAACATACTGTAATTGCTCTTGACTGTAATTTAGGCTATAGGCACTGTGGTTATGGAATAAGAAGTGGTATTGTGATTGTGACAGGGTGAGCAATGCAGTTTGTGTCATATCTTAGCATGGAGCCTATTTAACTCAGAGTATTATCAGTAATTGGAGATGAGCTGCTCTCCAACATAATGTCTGGTTTCAGTTCTATCAGCAAGATCAAATGCTATTAACCTGCCTTTTATATGTACTACATACTAAGTTCCCTATATGAATTAAATTGAATGCTTATTTACAAGCCCTTTCCCAACAATGCAGAGTTAAAGAGTAAGAAAAATTAGCAAAAAATTAAAAAGGAAATAGTAACACAGTAAAATAACAATAACGAGACTATACAGTGCCTTCGGAAAGTATTCAGACCCCTTGACTTTTTCCACATTTTGTTACGTTACAGCCTTATTCTGAAATGGATTAAATAAATAAAAATCCTCAGCAATCTACACACAATACCCCATAATGACAAAGCGAAAATTCAACAGAAATTCAGACCCTTTGCTATGAGACTCGAAATTGAGCTCAGGTGCATCCTATTTCCATTGATCATCCTTGAGATGTTTCTACAACTTGATTGGAGTCCACCTGTGGTAAATTCAATTGATTGGACATAATTTGGAAAGGCACACACCTGTATATATAAGGTCCAACAGTTGACAGTGCATGTCAGAGCAAAAACCAAGCCATGAGGTTGAAGGAATTGTCCGTAGAGCTCAGAGACAGGATTGTTTCGAGGCACAGATCTGGGGAAGGGTACCAGAAAATGTCTGCAGCATTGAAGGTCCCCAAGAACACAGTGGCCTCCATCATTCTTAAATGGAAGAATCTTCCTAGAGCTGGCCGCCCAGCCAAATTGGGCAATCGGTTGAGAAGGCCCTTGGTCAGGGAGGTAATCAACAACCCGATGGTCACTCTGACAGAGCTCTAGAGTTCCTCTGTGGAGATGGGAGAAACTTCCAGAAGGACAACCATCTCTGCAGCACTCTACCAATCAGGCCTTTGTGGTAGAGTGGCCAGACAGAAGCCACTCTTCAGTAAAAGGCACATGACAGCCCACTTGGAGTTTGCCAAAAGGCACCTAAAGACTCTCAGACCATGAGAAACAAGATTCTCTGGTCTGATGAAACCAAGATTGAACTATTATGCCTGAATGCCAAGCATCACGTCTGGAGGAAACCTGGCACCATCCCTAAGTTGAAGCATGGTGGTGGCAGCGTCATGCTGTGGGGAGGTTTTTCAGCAGCAGGGACTGGGAGACTAGTCAGGATCGAGGCAATGATGAATGGAGCAAAGTACAGAGATGAAAACCTGCTCCAGAGCGCTCAGGACCTCAGGCTGGGACAAAGGTTTACCTTCCAACAGGACAATGACCCTAAGCACACAGCCAAGACAACGCAGGAGTGGCTTCGGGACTAGTCTCTGAATGTCCTTGAGTGGCCCAGCCAGAGCCCGGACTTAAACCCAATCTAACATCTCTGGAGAGACCTGTAAATAGCTGTGCAGCAATGCTCCCCATCCAACCTGACAGAGCTTGAGAGGATCTGCAGAGAAGAATGGGAGAAACTCCCATTGTAGCGTCATACCCAAGAAGACTTGATGCTGTAATTGCTGCCAAAGGCACTTCAACATAGTACTGAGTAAAGGGTCTGATTACTTATGTAAATGTGATGTTTCAGTTTTGTATTTTTAATAAATTTGCAAAAATTCTGAAACACTATTTTTGCTTTGTCATTATGGGGTATTGTGTGTAGATTGATGTGGAAAATAAACAATATAATCAATTTTAGAATAAGTAATGTAACAAAATGTTGAAAAAGTCAAGGGGTCTGAATTCTTTCTGAAGGCACTGTATACAAGGAGTACCGGTACAGAGTAATGTGCAGGGGTACAAGGTAGTTGAGGTAATTGAGGTAATATGTACATGTAGGTAGGGGTAAAAGTGACCAGGCAATCAGGATAGATAATAGCAGTAGCAGCAGCATATTTGAAGAGTGTGAAAGAGTGTCTATGTGTGAGTGTGTGTGTGGCGTCAATATGCATGTGTGTTTTGTGTGTGTTAGCGCATGAATTGTGTGTGTATGTGTGTGTGTTGGAGTGTCAGTGTAGTAGGTGTTATGGTGTGGGTAGAGTCCAGTGAGTGTGCATAGAGACGGTGCAAGAGAGCAAATAAAAAGGGGGTCAATGCAAATAGTCAGGGTAGCCCTCTGTAGTGCCTTACGGTCGAGTGCCAAGCAGTTGCCATACCAAGCGGTGATGCAGCCAGTCAAGATGCTCTCAATGGTGCAGCTGTAGAACTTTTTAAGGATCTGAGGGCCCATGCCAAATCTTTTCAGCCTCCTGAACCATGATAGGTTCTTAGTGATTTGGACACCGGGGAACTTTCAGCTCTCGACCCGCTCCACTACAGCCCTGTCGATGTGAATGGGGGCGTGCTCGGCCCTCCGTTTCCTGAAGTCCACGATCAGCTCCTTTGTCTTGCTGACACTGAGGGAGACATTGTTGTCCTTGCACCACACTGCCAGGTCTCTGACCTCCTCCCTATAGGCTGTCTCATCGCCGTCGGTGATCAGGCCTACCACTGTCGTGTCATCAGAAAACGTAATGATGGTGTTGGAGTCGTGCGCATCAATGCAGTCGTGGGTGAACAGGGAGTACAGGAGCGGACTGAGCACGCACCCCTGAGGGGCCCCCGTGTTGAGGGTCAGCAGGGCGGATGTGTTGTTGCCTACCCTCACCACCTGGGGTGTCCCGTCAGGAAGTCCAGGATCCAGTTGCAAAGGTAGGTGTTCAGTCCCAGGGTCCTTAGCTTAGTGATGAGCTTGGAGGGAACTATAGTGTTGAACGCTGAGCTGTAGTCAATGAACAGCATTCTTACTTAGGTGTTCCTTTTGTCCAGGTGGGAAAGGGCAGTGTGGAGTGCAATAGAGATTGCGTCATCTGTAGATCAGTTGGGGCGGTATGCGAATTGGAGTGGATCCAGGGTGTCTGTGATGATGGTGTTGATGTGAGCCATGACCAGCCTTTCAAATAATTTCATGGCTACAGATGTGAGTGCTACGGACGATAGTTATGTAGACAAGTTACCTTGGCGTTCTTGGGTACAGGGACTATGGTGATCTGCTTGAAACATGTAAGTATTAGAGAGAGAGTCAGAGAGAGGTTGAAAATATCAGTGAAGACACTTGTCAGCTGGTCAGCTCATGCTCTGAGTACGTGTCCTGGTAATCTGTTTGGCCCTGTGGCCTTGTGAATGTTAACCTGTTTAAAGGTCTTACTCACATCAGCTACGGAGAGCGTGATCACACAGCTGGTGCTCTCATGCATGGTTCAGTGTTGCTAGCCTTGAAGCGTGCATAGAAGGCATTTAGCTTGACTGGTAGGATCGACTGGGCTCGTGCCTGGGTTTTCCTTTGTAATCCATGATAGTTTGCAAGCCCTGCCACATCCGATGAGCGTCAGAGCCGGTGTAGTAGGATTCGATCTTAGTCCTGTATTGACGCTTTGCCTGTTTGATGTTCTGTCTGAGGGCATAGTAGGATTTCTTACAAGCGTCAGGATTAGTGTCCCGCTCCTTGAAAGCGGCAAATCTTGCCTTTAACTCAGTATGGATGTTACTTGTAATCCATGGCTTCTGGTCGGGATATGTACATACGGTCGTCGTCAATGCCCTTATTAATGAAGCCGGTGACTGATGTGGTAAACTCCTCAACGCCATCGGATGAATCCTCAAACATATTCCAGTGCAAAACAGTCCTGTAGCTTAGCATCTGCTTCATCGAACCACTTCTGGTACTGGTACTTCCTGTTTGAGTTTTTTCTTGTAAGCAGGAATCAGGAGGATAGAGTTATGGTCAGATTTTCCAAATGGAGGGCGAGGGAGAGCTTTGTATGCATCTCTGTGTGTGGAGTAAAGGTGATCTAGAGTTTTTTCGCCTCTAGTTGCACAGGTGACATGCTGGTAGAAATGAGTTAAGACAGATTTCAGTTTTCCTGCATTAAAATCCCTGCCCACTAGGAGCGCTGCCTCTGGGTGAGCATTTTCTTATTTGCTTATGGCCCTATACAGCTGGTTGAGTGCGGTCTTAGTGCCAGCATCGGTTTGTGGTGGTAAGTAGACAGCTACGAAAAATATAGATGAAAACTCTCTCTGTAAATAGTGTGGTCTACAGCAGTGGTCATCAACCTTTTCTGAGTCAAGATCACTTTCACAGTCATAATCAAGCCGAGATCTACCGCTCAGATTTGTTTTAAACATTACTTAAAAAATTTAACATTAACCTAATAAAAACAGTTCTGTAGGAAAGAGGTTTGTGCAGTAGGCCTAATGCATTATCACAGCATATTGTCTAAATGCCTGGCTTGACAATATTGTTCTTCACAGGCCATATTATGTTTCAAAACTCAAGCTTTGGTAACAAAATAGATCAGTTGGTGTAGCACTTCCGAGACACAGCTGAGCATAAATTGAAATAATTAGCAAATCATTTGCTTTTTATTTTACTGGACTGATGGTACCTGCATCTGATGGTCACAGTGCTTTCTAGACAACTAGCAACTCCATTTTAAGCCCACTTTGAAAAAGTCAAGGGACGTGAATACTTTCTGAAGTGACTGTATATCCTATATACATATTGTATGGATGGTAATTACGTCCTTTGCATTGACGTTGTGGTAGTTATAATGCAGCTTTACATGTCCATCTAATCTTGTTATGTTATTCCTCTGTTGGTATGGAATAAAGACTCTTGAACAGGACAATAAGTACAGTCATGGCCAAACATATTGGCACCCTTGCACTTTTTTCAAGTAACTCACAATTTTCCCTAAAAATAAGTTGAAATTGACCAAAGTATTTAATATTAATAATATTACAGAACCTTTGTTTTGATTCAAAAGTTAATATATCAATTTAAATCAGAAAACAAACAGAAATGGCATTAACAAAATTGTTAACACCCTAGAATTAATATTTGGTAGCCCAGCCTTTGGTCAAAATAATTGCAATCAAGCGCTTCCTATAGCCATCGATGAGCTTCCTGCACCTCTGTACTGGCAGTTTAGCCCACTCTTCTTGTGCAAACTGCTCCAGTTCTCACATATTTGGAGGGTGCCTTCTCCCAACTGCTTTTTTCAGATCTCTCCACAAGTTTTCAATGGGATTTAGATATAGACTCATTGCTGGCCACTAATTTGGTCACATCTGTCCACAGGACATTCTCCCAGAAGGATTTTGGCATATTCAGGTGTGTTTTGCCAAATTGCAGTAGGGCTTTATTATGTCTCTCTCTCAGCAGTGGGGTCCTCCTGGGTCTCCTACAATATAACCCTCTTTTATTGAGTAGGCGAAGGATGGTGCGAGTTGAAACTGTCATACCTTGTGTCTGAAGGTCAGCTTGAATCTGTTTGGCAGTTGATTTGGGTGCTTTCTCCACCATTCGAACCATCCTTCACTGCAATCTTCCGTTAAGTTTTCTCTTACGGCCACGTCCAGGGTGGTTGGCGACAGTGGCATGGTGCTTACATTTCCTGATAACATTACGTATGGTGGAAACAGGAACATCAAGGTCTCTGGAAATTGACTTGTAGCATTGAGATTGTCCATGCTTGGCTACAATCTTGTGTCTGACCTCCTCAGATAATTCTCTGTTTTACTTTATTTTCTCCATGCTCATTGTGGCACACACAGTGACACAAAACAGGAGAATTAGTCCTTTTCTCTAGTCAAACTGGTTGAATGAGTGATTTTTATATTGCAGCCACCTGCAACTCACCACAGGTGAGTTCAATTCCAAAGTAAAGGAGAATCACCTGCTTGAAATCAAATAATTTTTAACTACTTCTAGAAGGTGCCAATAATATTATCCGGGCCATTTTAGGATTTCTTTGCGGAATAAGCTAACATTTAGTAAATTATTCCGATTTTTTTGTTTTGTTCAACTGCAAACCAAAGACATACAGTGGGGAAAAAAGTATTTAGTCAGCCACCAATTGTGCAAGTTCTCCCACTTAAAAAGATGAGAGAGGCCTGTAATTTTCATCATAGGTACATGTCAACTATGACAGACAAATTGAGAAAAAAAATCCAGAAAATCACATTGTAGGATTTTTAATGAATTTATTTGCAAATTATGGTGGCAAATAAGTATTTGGTCACCTACAAACAAGCAAGATTTCTGGCTCTCACAGACCTGTAACTTATTTTTTAAGAGGCTCCTCTGTCCTCCACTCGTTACCTGTATTAATGGCACCTGTTTGAACTTGTTATCAGTATAAAAGACACCTGTCCACAACCTCAAACAGTCACACTCCAAACTCCACTATGGCCAAGACCAAAGAGCTGTCAAAGGACACCAGAAACAAAATTGTAGACCTGCACCAGGCTGGGAAGACTGAATCTGCAATAGGTAAGCAGCTTGGTTTGAAGAAATCAACTGTGGGAGCAATTATTAGGAAATGGAAGACATACAAGACCACTGATAATCTCCCTCGATCTGGGGCTCCACGCAAGATCTCACCCTGTGGGGTCAAAATGATCACAAGAACGGTGAGCAAAAATCCCAGAACCACACGGGGGGACCTAGTGAATGACCTGCAGAGAGCTGGGACCAAAGTAACAAAGCCTACCATCAGTAACACACTACGCCGCCAGGGACTCAAATCCTGCAGTGCGAGACGTGTCCCCCTGCTTAAGCCAGTACATGTCCAGGCCCGTCTGAAGTTTGCTAGAGTGCATTTGGATGATCCAGAAGAGGATTGGGAGAATGTCATATGGTCAGATGAAACCAAAATAGAACTTTTTGGTAAAAACTCAACTTGTCGTGTTTGGAGGACAAAGAATGCTGAGTTGCATCCAAAGAACACCATACCTACTGTGAAGCATGGGGGTGGAAATATCATGCTTTGGGGCTGTTTTTCTGCAAAGGGACCAGGACGACTGATCCGTGTAAAGGAAAGAATGAATGGGGCCATGTATCGTGAGATTTTGAGTGAAAACCTCCTTCCATCAGCAAGGGCATTGAAGATGAAACGTGGCTGGGTCTTTCAGCATGACAATGATCCCAAACACACCGCCTGGGCAACGAAGGAGTGTGTCACGCCCTGGCTCTGGGGACACTGTTATGTTGAGCCAGGGTGTGTAGTTCTATGTTTGTATTTTCTATGTTGGCCTGAGTGACTCCCAATCAGTGTCAGCTGGGGCTGGTTGTCTCTGATTGGGAGCCATATTTAAACTGTGTCTTTCCCTTTGTGGTTGTGGGTTTTGTTCGTATTTGGTTGTGTAAACCGTAGACATCACGTTTTTCGTCTGTTGTTTTGATCGTGTGATCATTCATTAAATAAATATGTTCACCCTCAACGCTGCGCCTTGGTCCTCCTTAGACGACCGTGACAGAGTGGCTTCATAAGAAGCATTTCAAGGTCCTGGAGTGGCCTAGCCAGTCTCCAGATCTCAACCCCATAGAAAATCTTTGGAGGGAGTTGAAAGTCTGTGTTGCCCAGCGACAGCCCCAAAACATCACTGCTCTAGAGGAGATCTGCATGGAGGAATGGGCCAAAATACCAGCAACAGTGTGTGAAAACCTTGTGAAGACTTACAGAAAACGTTTGACCTGTGTCATTGCCAACAAAGGCTATATAACAAAGTATTGAGAAACTTTTGTTATTGACCAAATACTTATTTTCCATCATCATTTGCAAATAAATTCATTAAAAATCCTACAATGTGATTTTCTGGAGAAAAAAAATCTCATTTTGTCTGTCATAGTTGACCTGTACCTATGATGAAAATTACAGGCCTCTCTCATCTTTCTAAGTGGGAGAACTTGCACAATTGGTGGCTGACTAAATACTTTTTTTCCCCACTGTACATATGTGGATACCGAAATATATTGTAATTTCCACAGAAATTGTGCAATATTCGAAAAAAGTGCAATGGTGCCTATGAAGTAGCTATGCTGCTGTAGTATAGTATTTAATATCCTCATTAATCAGATTCTTTACTATACACCCTTACAAATATATTTCGAAGCCAACAAAATAAACATGAGACCGTGAAGCACATAGAGAATGTTGATGAAGTGGCATAGTTTGCCTGGAGAGCAGCACAATGTGTGTAACCTAGATGTAACCGATTCTTGTAGTGTTGGGCCTCAGCAAGGCCCTGGGCTGTTCTGTTCCACTGAGAGGAGGAGCAGGAGGAGATGGAAGGCTCTTTATCACTGTATCTCTCACTTAGGATCGTACAGCAGACCTTAGTGAGTCCATCCATACCTCTCTAGACTTCTCGATCTCCCCCACCCCCCTCCTCCACACTCGCCCTCTACCAATCTCTTAGCCATCTCCCAATCTCCCTCGCCTCATCACACTCTCTCCTCATTTCTCTCTCTCGTCTCAGGCCTCTCCCTCTCTCTCTCTCTCTTCTCTCGTCTCTATCTCTCTCTACTCTCTGCTCTCTCTCTCTCTCTCTCTCTCTGCTCTCTCCTCCTCTCTCTTCTCTCTCTCTCCTCCTCTCTCTCTCTCTCTCTCAATTCAATTTCAATTCAATTTAAGTGCCTTTATTGGCATGGAAAACATATGTTTACATTGCCAAAGCAAGTGATATAAATAATAAACAAAAGTTAAATAATCAATAAAAAATTAACTGTACATTACACTCACAAAGTTCCAAAAGAATGAATACATTTCAAATGTCATATTGTGGCTATATACAGTGTTGTAATGATGTGCAAATAGTTAAAGTACAAAAGGGAAAATAATTCAACATTAAATATAGGTTCTTTTTACAATGGTGTTTGTTCTTCACTGGTTGCCCTTTTCTTGTGGCAACAGGTCACAAATATTGCTGCTGTGATTGCACACTGTGGTATTTCACCCAATAGATATGGGAGTTTATCAAAATTGGATTTGCTTTTGAATTCTTTGTGGGTCTGTGTAATCTGAGGGAAATATGTGTCTCCAATATGGTCATACATTTGGCAGGAAGTTAGGAAGTGCAGCTCAGTTTCCACCTCATTTTGTGGGCAGTGTGCACATAGCCTGTCTTCTCTTGAGAGCCAGGTCTGCCTTCGGCTGCCTTTCTCAATAGCAAGGCTATGCTCACTGAGTCTGTACATAGTCAAAGATTTCCTTAATTTCGGGTCAGTCACAGTGGTCAGGTATTCTGCCACTGTGTACTCTCTGTTTATGGCCAAATAGCATTCTAGTTTGCTCTGCTTTCCAATGTGTCAAGTAATTATCTTTTTGTTTTCTCATGATTTGGTTGGGTCTAATTGTGTTGCTGTCCTGGGGATCTGTGGGGTCTGTTTGTGTTTGTGAATAGAGCCCCAGGACCAGCTTGCATAGGGGACTCTTCTCCAGGTTCATTTCTCTGTAGGTGATGGCTTTGTTATGGAAGGTTTGGGAATCGCTTCCTTTTAGGTGGCTGTAGAATTTAACAGCTCTTTTCTAGATTTAGATAATTAGCGGGTATTAGCCTAATTCTGCTCTGCATGCATTATTTTGTGTTTTACGTTGTACACTGAGGATATATTTGCAGAATTCTGCATGCAGAGTCTCAATGTGGTCCTCTGTAGCTCAATTGGTAGAGCATGGCGCTTGTAACGCCAGGGTAGTGGGTTCGATCCCCGGGACCACCCATACGTAAAAATGTATGCACACATGACTGTAAGTCGTTTGGATAAAAGTGTCTGCTAAGTAGCATATTATAATTTGGTGTTTGTCCCATTTTGTGAATTCTTGGTTGGTGAGCAGACCTCATACAGTGAGGGAAAAAAGTATTTGATCCCCTGATGATTTTGTACGTTTGCCCACTGACAAAGAAATGATCAGTCTATAATTTTAATGGTAGGTTTATTTGAACAGTGAGAGACAGAATAACAACAAAAAAATCCAGAAAAACGCATGTCAAAAATGTTATAAATTGATTTGCATTTTAATGAGGGAAATAAGTATTTGACCCCCTCTCAATCAGAAAGATTTCTGGCTCCCAGGTGTCTTTTATACAGGTAACGAGCTGAGATTAGGAGCACACTCTTAAATGGAGTGCTCCTAATCTCAGCTTGTTACCTGTATAAAAGACACCTGTCCACAGAAGCAATCAATCAATCAGATTCCAAACTCTCCACCATGGTCAAGATCAAAGAGCTCTCCAAGGATGTCAGGGACAAGATTGTAGACCTACACAAGGCTGGAATGGGCTACAAGACCATCGCCAAGCAGCTTGGTGAGAAGGTGCCAACAGTTGGTGTGATTATTCGCAAATGGAAGAAAGACAAAAGTACTGTCAATCTCCCTCGGCCTGGGGCTCCATGCAAGATCTCACCTCGTGGAGTTGCAATGATCATGAGAACGGTGAGGAATCAGCCCAGAACTACACGGGAGGATCTCGTCAATGATCTCAAGGCAGCTGGGACCATAGTCACCAAGAATACAATTGGTAACACACTACGCCGTGAAGGAGTGAAATCCTGCAGCGCCCGCAAGGTCCCCCTGCTCAAGAAAGCACATATACAGGGCCATCTGAAGTTTGCCAATGAACATCTGAATGATTCAGAGGAGAACTGGGTGAAAGTGTTGTGGTCAGATGAGACCAAAATCGAGCTCTTTGGCATTAACTCAACTCTCCGTGTTTGGAGGAGGAGGAATGCTGCCTATGACCCCAAGAACACCATCCCCACCGTCAAACATTGAGGTGGAAACATTATGCTTTGGGGGTGTTTTTCTGCTAAGGGGACAGGACAACTTCACCGCATCAAAGGGACGATGGACGGGGCCATGTACCGTCAAATCTTGGGTGAGAACCTCCTTCCCTCAGCCAGGGCATTGAAAATGGGTCGTGGATGGGTATTCCAGCATGACAATGACCCAAAACACACGGCCAAGGCAACAAAGGAGTGGCTCAAGAAGAAGCACATTAAGGTCCTGGAGTGGCCTAGCCAGTCTCCAGACCTTAATCCCATAGAAAATCTGTGGAGGGAGCTGAAGGTTCGAGTTGCCAAACGTCAGCCTCAAAACCTTAATGACTTGGAGAAGATCTGCTAAGAGGAGTGGAACAAAATCCCTCCTGAAATGTGTGCAAACCTGGTGGCCAACTACAAGAAACGTCTGACCTCTGTGATAGCCAACAAGGGTTTTGCCACCAAGTACTAAGTCATGTTTTGCAGAGTGGTCAAATACTTATTTCCCTCATTAAAATGTAAAACAATTTATGACATTTTTTACATGCGTTTTTCTGGATTTTTTCGTTTTTATTCTGTCTCTCACTGTTCAAACAACCTACCATTAAAAGTATAGACTGATCATGTCTTTGTCAGTGGGCAAACGTACAAAATCAGCAGGGGATCAAATACTTTTTTCCCTCACTGTACCTCACAATCATAAAGGGCAATGGGTTCCATAACTGATTCAAGTATTTTTAGCCAGGTCCTAATTGGTATGTTGAATTTTATGTTCCTTTTGATGGCATAGAAGGCCCTTCGTGCCTTGTCTCTCAGATCGTTCACAGCTTTATGGAAGTTACCTGTGGCGCTGATGTTTAGGCTGAGGTATGTATAGTTTTTTGTGTGCTCTAGGGCAATGGTGTCTAGATGGAATTTGTATTTGTTGTCCTGGCAACTGGACCTTTTTTGGAACACCATTATTTTTGTCTTACTGAGATTTACTGTCAGGGCCCAGGTCTGACAGAATCTGTGCAGAAGATCTAGGTGCTGCTGTAGGCCCTCCTTGGTTGGGGACAGAAGCACCAGATCATCAGCAAACAGTAGACATTTATCTTCAGATTCTAGTAGGGTGAGGTCAGGTGCTGCAGACTGTTCTAGTGCCCTCGCCAAATTCGTTGATATATATGTTGAAGAGGGTGGGGCTTAAGCTGCATTCCTGTCTCACCCCCCTGCTCTGTTGAAAGAAATGTGTGTGATTTTTGCCAATTTTAACCACACACTTGTTGTTTGTGTACATGGATTTCCCCCCAACACCACTTTGGAGAAGCTGTCATCATTAAAGTATGGGGAGTCTATTGGGAGTAGCACACATGAGGACATTTTTCTCTGTTGAGATAATTTCCTTATTAATGTCTAGCCAGATGTAAAATGGTCTGCTTTATAACAAATTAGCATACCCCCTTAGTCTCTTCCTTGTTTCACACCTGGTAATTTGTTGGATGGGACTACCAGCTCTCTGTAACCTAGAGGGCAACCAGTGGGTCCGTATCCTTTATACCATGTTTCTTGTAGGATGACAATGTCTGTATTTCCAATTTCCATGATGAAGTCTGGGTTCCTGCTCTTTAGGCCAAAGGCAGATGACCTCAGACCTTGTATATTCCAGGATGAGACAGTAAAAGCTTTTTGTTCCATAGTGTCTAGTGTTGTTTTTGTGTGGTTTAGGCCCGGACCATCACTGTAGGTGTGAGCAGAGCATGTTGAGCATCTGATACATACCTCTTAGGTCGCAGGATGGTGCTTGGGCGGGTGTAATAGTGGGGGTTGGGCCTGTTGCTCTGCTCACAGCCTGGGCATATGTCCTGCTGTCATGTTGAGGTCCTTGCCGCAGGGGTAGGGGGGCATGGGGTGGGCAGAAGGGGCATAGGTCTGATATGGGGGGGGCCTATACAGGGTGTGGCCAGGGTTTGCTTGAGGTGGTCTTAGCTGGTTGGGGTGTGGCTGGTGATGCTGTGGTCTGGGTGTAGGTCCTCTTGGCATGGGTTCTCTCGGTGCAGGTCCTTCAGGAGGGGGTCTTGCAGGTCTGGGAGGGTGTCTCGCTGGTCTGGGCGGGGTGTCCGTTGCTCTGTTGCTCCTGTGTGAGGTGCTGGGGCTACGGTTGAGGGTGACGTCCTTCAGGGTCCTGGCAAAAGTTGGGATTGCTGCCTTGTAGAGGTGGACCTGGTCGTAAAGGCTGTTCAAGTCCAGGGTGGAGTGGTGGGCCAGGTAGACATTAGGTTTTGTGGCACAGTCTCGCGAAATGCTTGCATTCACCCGCTGTATGGTGGCAGGGTGAAAGTATTTTCATGGTAGCAGGGTGGAGATAACCACTAGTTCGTTGGGAAAAGTGGAAGAAGCTTTTTCAATCACTCCCTTGAGTGCTGTGGCCATTTCTCTCCCTCTCTCTCTCTCCCCCTCCCTCCACCAGAGTAGTGTTAAATTAATCACTCATGGCAGCAGCGCCTGTGCTAGGGGGAAAACAGTACAAGCCTAAGTTCCAGTGTTGAACCCTTTGACTCCCTGGCAGCCCCACGGCCCATACAGTACTGTACTCCCTGACAGATCCTGTTACATCTGTGCGGCCAGTGAAGCGGAAACAGCAACCTGGGGACCTGTGTGTGTGTGTGTGTGTGTGTGTGTGTGTGTGTGTTTTATCTGTGTGCGTACGTGTGTGTGTATATGGACATTGGAGCCACAAGGTTGCAGGTTTAAAGGGACAGTGCGAGATTTTGGCAATCAAGCCCTTTTTCTACTTACCTAGAGTCAGATAAATTCATGGATACTTCATTCATGGACATTTTTCTGTCTCTGTGTGCATTTTGAAGGTACAGTAGTTTTGCGGTCCATTGCTAATTAGCAATAGCACAATGACTGGAAGTCTACCGGAACAGACTGGAAATCTATTTATATCTATTTAAAAAGTAATGTGCCCAATTTATACATTTTAAAAAGGACTACAATGATAGCAAACCAAACACTGCAAACTCATCTACTAGGGATGTAACAATTCACAGATATGCATCATCCCTGGATCAAATGTTTAAGATATGTGTGCATCGGTCTGCGGGACCCAAAATCGATCCAAATATAGCATGCATCAGTCAGAAAATTGATTCAATCATTACGAATCGCCGGTTCACTAAAATGTTTTACTTATATTACTTTCTTTCTACCTTTTGGAAAATACTTCTCATCTTCTGTTACAACTGATGCATCCTCTCCTTCAGTGTGGAACTGAGCATGTAACTGTGTTGACAGTCATTGATCTACAAGCCATTTTGCATGCTGAGCTTATTCAAACTGCACGCTGTGCGCAACTTTGTGCGCTGACCAACGAGAGGTAGGCCTATTCCTGATCTTGCACATCTGCGAGTCACCTACAGCATTCAAATGTTTGTAAAATGGCTTGCCCAATATTAGGCTTTATTAGTTGATTGACAACCAATGTAATATGCTAGGTTAATGTTATCAAATGCGCCGTTGAAAATTGTGCTTTAAGTAGCCTAAAATACCCGCGAGACACATTTACATTTTAGTCATTTAGCAGACACGCTTATCCAGAGCATCTTACAGTTAGTGCATACATTGTTTTTTGTTTGTTTCATACTGGCCCCCCGTGGGAATCGAACCCACAACCCTGGCGTTGCAAGCACCATGCTCTTCCAACTGAGCTACACGGGACCTAGATACAAATCTAATCTGGCAATACCTGCTGATCGGGGTTTACTGTTCATTAGATTTTAGATATACAGGATAAAGGTGATAATTTCATAACAAGAACAGTAATCTCTTTTGCTACCCACACTGCATGGCTGAAGCAGAGGAGAAGAGAAGCTCACTCCTAAAGACTTCCAAACGTCTACTAAAAATGTTGAGATGAGGGTGAAATCCAAAGTTGTGCTAGATATTCATTGACTATGTCATAGACAAATATTGATAGACTACTAGCTCAAACAGTTTTAATCTGCAAAAAAGTCAAACATATTAGTGGGTGATGGTGATTTCAGATCAAAAGTGGGGGGACAAAAAGCAAACATTGCCCCCCCCAAATCAGATAATGGGGTGGTAGATGCCCATTTTCTCTTATGGCTCAGCTCAGGTGCCTAATTACACAGGTGCCTAATTACACCATAGACATATACATAATTTACACACACACACACACACACACTCTCACACACACACACACACACACACACACACACACACACACACACACACACACACACACACACACACACACAGATAAGTCAGCTCAGACAGATCCAGCTCAGAGAGGCCCAGCTCATGAGCTCCATCAGCAGCAGATTTTAATTTAGAATGGAAAATGAATGTGTTTATGCAACAAATGTTAATGCCTCGAATAGTATTGTATCGCATTGAACCAAATCGCATCAATTTGCTCTCTAATCAAACCGAATTGCACCGAATAATTTCAAACTAAAACGTATCTTTCCTGTATCATATTGGGATTCATGTACCTGGATATGTATCAAATCATCTTGAAAGGGAAAGATGCATATCCCTACCATCTACAGTATTTAATTAGCTTAAATCTCTCTCTCTCTCTCTCTCTCTCTCTCTCTCTCTCTCTCTCTCTCTCTCTCTCTCTCTCTCTCTCTCTCTCTCTTCCTCTGCTCTCTCCCTCTGTCTGTCACCAATGGCAACTGCAAATGTGATTCTAATTATACAGTTTCACTCCTCTGTAAATGTTAACAGCTCAAGGATATAACTTTTTTTAGAGTAACCTCTCAACCCAACCCATGGACTGAAGAACCAGGCATCGGCAGGCATTATCCTTATGCCTTTAAGCTATCCTGTAAATACCACCAATGAAACATACATGCTATCATTTGTTTTTGTTTATTACAGTGTTGGAATCATATTATTACACCCACTCTAGATCATCAGTGTACTGTGTCATACTCTTTAAATAGGAATTCACCTGCTGCTCACCTTTTAACCCTAATGACCACACACACAAACACACATGCACACACACACGCACACACAGACACGTGCGTGCACGCAAACCCACGCACATACACAGACACACACACACAGTGGCGCAGCGGTCTAAGGCACTGCATCTCCGCGCTAGAGGCGTCACTACAGACCCTGGTTTGATTCCAGGCTGTATCACAACCGGCCGTGATTGGGAGTCCCATAGGGTGGCGCACAATTGGCCCAGCGTCGTCCGGGTTTGGCCGGTGTAGGCCGTCATTGTATATAAGAATTTGTTCTTAACTGACTTGCCTAGTTAAATAAAGGTACTAAAAAATAAAATAAAAACTTGTGTCTTGTCTCTCAGTAAGTAGAGCTGGTGCCTAGCAGATGTCAGCCATTGAGAAGTGTACAGTCTCTCAGAGAGATTATGATGCTGTTTTGTTGTGTGTGTGTACGTGCGTGTGTTGGGAGTTACAGTATGTTAGAGGTGATGGATTTACTGACTAAACCATATTTGATTCATGACTCAACACTTATGTTTATCATTCATTTGTCTTTTCTGTTCCCCTTTATTTTCTAGATCATGATCTCAGAGACCGTCCTGTTCTTGATACAATACTCGTCCAAAGAGCTGGACAGTCAGGAGAAGACCATGCTGACAGGAGACTGCTGCTACCTCAACCCTCTGGTGCGCAGGACCTTTCGCTTTCTGGGTACGTCTTACAGACTAAATATTATCTAAACATTAGTCAACTTTGTGGCTCAGTCGGCAATTGTGCAATGACAAGGTTGTGCTTCGGATAAAAGCCTCTGTTTATTGACATATATTGCATACATTAAATTCTCTCTGTCTTGTCCTTGAAAACTAGCTCCATATGTCCAGTGTCTCCTCATACAGAAACGTACACTGTCACGTGCCCTGAGGGGAACGAATGGGATCCTTTGGAAAGGAATGGTACAGTCAGTACTGTATGTAGTCTCCTCTGCTCTCACGCAAAAGTTCCTCTTTTAGATAAGACTACAGAAACCAAAAGGAATATCACCCTGATCCCTGAGGGAATAAACTCCTCCCTCCCACCCTCTCTCTCTCTTTCCTGTTAAATCTTTAATTTACACCACAATTCCTCTCACTGTAACAATTATTTACTGTTCTGAGCTTTCGCAGCTAAACCTCCCTTTACTCACTATACACAATATGTATGAATTATAGGTTGCTCTAAATGACATAATCTAAAACATCATATAGGATGTTAAATGGATAACTCAGTCTAACCGACCAACTTTGTTTTTGTTAGACTGTCAGACGGTAGGCCATTGCTGTTATGTTGGTGTTACAGTTAGTTCTGCAGATAATGTCTGCCCCAGTAGCCAGCAGAAGCTAACACGGCCACCTGCTGTAGAGGTATGGATGACTGAGGTCACTAGAGCAAGGGATTTGTGTCAGAGGTTTTAAAGGCATTGTCCATTGGGATCAGATGGGGATACTACTTTCATCTAAGCCTCCCTAGCAGACTGCAGTGAGAATGGGATAATTTCAACACAGGTCAAAGACACCTGTCTGCAGAGCATGGTAGTGTACTTCTCCAGCCCAGTACAGGTTAACAAAAAGATTGCACGTACTTACAAATGTAAGATAGAGGTACTGTATCACAGTGATATAACATAATTGTATTCTCTCATGTACTATAGCTATCGTGCTGTGGAAGATTACTTTCTGATTGACTGCTCTTGGATTCTGTCTCTTTTCTCATCTATACCCTGTCCATGATTTGTTTAGTCAGTTCATATTATAGAGAGGTGAGAAACACAGGTGTGTGTGTGTGTGTGTGTGTGTGTGTGTGTGTGTGCGTGCAAGTAATCTCACTAGTCATCTCACGACCTGCCATCTTCCATCCCATCTTTCTGTTTTATTTAGAGTTCCATTGATAATGACTCACTTTGCAATGCTCTGTGGGAAAATATTACATTTTGAACATATCCGAGGGTCATGACAACAAGCTCGCTCTTAACTCTTACTCTTACTTTTCCACCTGATTTTAAGTCTTTGCATTTCTCCACCCTCTCATGAACCTTGATTGTGAAAGGATCAGCTATTTAGAGTGCACCCCTCTATTGGTAGCTAGATGGAGGGGTGTTAGGAGTATAAATTCTCAGCGAGATGAAAGGCACCCTGGAGAGACACTGCTGTTGTTGTCTCACCAGATTTTCAAGGTTCAAGGCAGAGCGTTGATGTGCACTTGTTAGAGAACTCCTTAAGACATACTCTTACACAAAGGAAGACTTTGCAGTGCATACAATAGCTTCACAAATAAGCCACTTCAGTTTGGAGAAATCCAACTTATTATTTCTCACTGCATCACTATTAGTCTTTGTGTGATGTGTTGATGTTCAAGCAGTTGGCATACAGTTCAGACACTCATCGGTACCACACAAGACATGCAGCCAGAGGTCTCTTCACAGTCCCCAGGTCCAGAACAGAGGCTGGGAGGCGCACAGTATAAAATAGAGCCATGAATAAATGGAACTCTCTGCCACCCCAGGTAACCCAAGCTAGCAAAAAAATCTGATTGAAAAACCAGATAAAAAAACACCTAACGGCACAACGGGACTGTGAAGAGACAGACATTTTGATATATTTTGTATTGTAATTTACACTGTATTATGTGTTGTATCATGTAGGTGGGTGGCCTTGCACGAGAATTGGGTTGTGCCAGCCGGAACAGCTCATAGGGCAGGAGCCATCTCCTGTTTCAGCAGCGTGAGGCAGAAGCAGGAGATTATGTAGTATTATGTAGTGTTATGTATGTTACCGTTTATTTTTTTCTCTTTGGTGCTAAAGTGAAACGCTACAGTACTGTAAATTACAGTAGATTACACAGTTTTCACATTAGGCAATACACTTACATTACCCAACAAAATTGACAGAAAATCTATAATTCCGTAATATCTATCCAATGTGTAATCAAAGGTGTGATCAATGAAGACATCCTCTACAATAATTCATGCAGAAACAGTTTTTTCAGATATTTTGCAACATAGGTGTGCTGTCTGTAATCAAATGTAAATAAAAATTAATGAATCAAATGTAAATGAATGAAATTAAAACATAACGTTTAGCACGCATTAATTTGCATCAAGCCTTTCTTGAGCATTTGGCCATCAATTCTCATCCACAGCACAGTGAATGGCCTCATTGTTCATGCACCTTTTTCCATGGCGAATCCAAGCTTGACATTGGTCTGCATTGACGTCGTCACATGCCTCATCCATGGCCAGAAGGAGGGTGGCACGCTCATAGGGATGGTGATCGTACACCTTCCACCTCAATGCTGAAAAACATTCCTCAATAGGGTTGAGGAAAGGAGTGTATGGGGGCAGGTATAGGGTCACAAATCGGGGATGGGCCCAAAACCATGCCTGAACCACCTCTGCATGGTGGATCCTGACATTGTCCCACACAATGACATATGTGACCCCTTCACCTTGACAGGCCTATTCAATTTCATTGAGAAACACAATGAGGAAAGGAAAGGGGGATACCTAGTCAGTTGTACAACTGAATGCATTCAACTGAAATGTGTCTTCCACATTTAACCCAACCCATCTGAATCAGAGAGCCGCTGCCTTAATCAACAGCGCCCGGGGAACAGTGGCTTAACTGCCTTGCTCAGGGGCAGAACAACAGATTTTTACCTTGTCAGCTCTGGGATTTGATCCAGCAACCTTTTGCTTACTGGCCCAACGCTCCTACCCGCTAGAATACCTGCCGCCCAATGAGGTGTGCAGCATTGTAGGATCCAAGTAATGGCCTACGTCCTACCTCACCATCTTCAGACATACTGTAGCTGCTCACATGGAGATGTTTCCCCACGTTGTCCACGGCGCCGAGTTTTGGCCAGGTTGAAGCCTGCTTCATCAACAAAGATATACACTACCGGTCAAAAGTTTTAGAACACCTACTCATTCAAGGGTTTTTCTTTATTTTTTAATATTTTCTACATTGTAGAATAATAGTGAAGACATAACAACTATGAAATACAGTGCCTTGCAAATGTATTAATTCCCCTTGGCATTTTTCCTATTTTATTGCATTACAACCTGTAATTTAAATTGATTTTTATTTGGATTTCATGTAATGGACATACACAAAATAGTCATAATTGGTAAAGTCAAATGAAAAAATTACTTGTTTCAAAAAATTCTAAAAAATAAATAACGGAAAAGTGTATTCACCCCCTTTGCTATGACGCCCCTAAATAAGATCTGGTGCAACCAATTACCTTCAGAAGTCACATAATTAGTTAAATAAAGTCTGCCTGTGTGCAATCTAAGTGTCACATGATCTGTCACATGATCTCAGTATATATACACCTGTTCTGAAAGGCCCCAGAGTCTGCAACACCACTAAGCAAGGGGCACCATGACGACCAAGGAGCTCTCCAAACAGGTCAGGGACAAAGTTGTGGAGAAGAACAGATCAGGGTTGGGTTATAAAAAAATATCAGAAAATGTTGAACATCCCACAGAGCACCATTAAATCCATTATTAAAAAATTGAAAGAATATGGCACCACAACAAACCTGCCAAGGGAGGGCCGCCCACCAAAACTCACGGACCAGGCAATGAGGGCATTAATCAGAGAGGCAACAAAGAGACTAAAGATAACCCTGAAGGAGCTGCAAAGCTCCACAGCGGAGATTGGAGTATATGTCCATAGGACCACTTTAAGCCGTACACTCCACAGAGCTGGGCTATACGGAAGAGTGGCCAGAAAAAAGACATTGCTTAAAGAAAAAAATAAGCAAACACATTTGGTGTTTGCCAAAAGCCATGTGGGAGACTCCCCAAACATATGGAATAAGGTACTCTGGTCAGATGAGACTAAAATTGAGCTTTTTGGCCATCAAGGAAAACGCTATGTCTGGCGCAAACCCAACACCTCTCATCACCTCTCATCACCCCGAGAACACCATCCCCACAGTGAAGCATGGTGGTGGCAGCATCATGCTGTGGATGTTTTTAATCGGCAGGGACTGGGAAACTGGTCAGAATTAAAGGAATGATGGATGGCGCTAAATACAGGGAAATTCTTGAGGGAAACCTGTTTCAGTATTCCAGAGATTTAAGACTGGGACAGAGGCTTACCTTCCAGCAGGACAATGACCCTAAGCATACTGCTAAAGCAACACTCAAGTGGTTTAAGGGGAAACATTTAAATGTCTTGGAATGGCCTAGTTAAAACTCAGACCTCAATCCAATTGAGAATCTGTGGTATGACCTAAAGATTGCTGTACACCAGCGGAACCCATCCAACTTGAAGGAGCTGGAGCAGTTTTGCCTTGAAGAATGGGTAAAAATCCCAGTGGCTAGATGTGCCAAGCTTATAGAGACATACCCCAAGAGACTTGCAGCTGTAATTGCTGCAAAAGGTGGCTCTACAAAGTATTGACTTTGGGGGGGTGAATAGTTATGCATGCTCAAGTTTTCTGTATTTTGCATCTTCAAAGTGGTAGGCATGTTGTGTAAATCAAATGATACAAACCCCAATTTTAATTTCAGGTTGTAAGGCAACAAAATAGGAAATATGCCAAGGGGGGTGAATACTTTGGCAAGCCACTGTAACACATATGGAATCATGAAGTAACGAAAAAAGTGGTAAACAACTCAAAATATATTTTATATTTGAGATTCTTCAAACAGCCACCCTTTGCCTTGATGACAGCTTTGCACACTCTTGGCATTCTCTCAAACAGCTTCATGAGGTAGTCACCTGGAATGCATTTCAATAAACAGGTGTGCCTTCTTAAAAGTTCATTTGGGTAATTTCTTTCCTTCTTAATGCATTTGAGCCAATCAGTTGTGTTGTGACAAGGTCCATATTATGGCAAGAACAGCTCAAATAAGCAAAGAGAAATGACATTCCATCAATACTTTAGGACATGAAGGTCAGTCAATCCGGACAATTTCAAGAACTTTGAAGGTTTCTTCAAGTGCAGTCGCAAAAACCATCTAGCGCTATGATGAAACTGGGTCTCATGAGAACCGCCACAGGAATGGAAGACCCAGAATTACCTCTGCTGCAGAGGATAAGTTCATTAGAGTTACCAGCCTCAGAAATTGCAGCCCAAATAAATGCTTCACAGAGTTCAAGTAACAGACACATCTCAACATCAACTGTTCAGAAGAAACTGTGTGAATCAGGCCTTCATGGTCAAAGAAACCACTACCGAAGGACACCAATAAGAAGAAGAGACTTGATTGGGCCAAGAAACACGAGCAATGGACATTAGACCGGTGGAAATGTGTCTTTTGGTCAAGTCCAAATTTGAGATTTTTGCTTCCAACCGCTGTGTCTTTGTGAGACGCGGTGTGGGTGAACGGATGATCTCCGCATGTGTATCTCCCACAGTAACGCATGGAGGAGGTGTTATGGTGTGGGGGTGCTTTGCTGGTGACACTGTCTGTGATTTATTTAGAATTCAAGGCACACTTAACCAGCATGGCTACCACAGTATTCTGCAGCGATACGCCATCCCATCTGGTTTGGGCTTAGTGGGACTATCATTTGTTTTTCAACAGGACAATGACCCAACACACCTCTAGGCTGTGAAAGGGCTATTTTACCAAGAAGGAGAATGAAGAAGGTCAAGAAGAAGGTCTGATTTCATTATTACTGAAACAGGATACAAGTGGAAAATATAAAGATCCAGTCCATTTTAAAAAATTGGAGGCTCCTTAAACTTCAGTGTTGTGATGATAAATTCTAGCAGAATGTATAGCACATAGAATTAAAAAGGTATTGTCGGACATTATTCATTCTAATCAGACAAGTTTTTTACATGGACATACAGTGGGGAAAAAAAGTATTTAGTCAGCCACCAATTGTGCAAGTTCTCCCACTTAAAAAGATGAGAGAGGCCTGTAATTTTCATCATAGGTACACGTCAACTATGACAGACAAAATGAGAAAAAAAATCCTGAAAATCACATTGTAGGATTTTTTATGAATTTATTTGCAAATTATGGTGGAAAATAAGTATTTGGTCAATAACAAAAGTTTCTCAATAATTTGTTATATACCCTTTGTTGGCAATGACACAGGTCAAACGTTTTCTGTAAGTCTTCACAAGGTTTTCACACACTGTTGCTGGTATTTTGGCTCATTCCTCCATGCAGATCTCCTCTAGAGCAGTGATGTTTTGGGGCTGTCGCTGGGCAACACGGACTTTCAACTCCCTCCAAAGATTTTCTATGGGGTTGAGATCTGGAGACTGGCTAGGCCACTCCAGGACCTATAAATGCTTCTTACGAAGCCACTCCTTCGTTGCCCGGGCGGTGTGTTTGGGATCATTGTCATGCTGAAAGACCCAGCCACGTTTCATCCTCAAAATCTTTTTCACTCAAAATCTCACGATACATGGCCCCATTCATTCTTTCCTTTACACGGATCAGTCGCCTGGTCCCTTTGCAGAAAAACAGCCCCAAAGCATGATGTTTCCACCCCCATGCTTCACAGTAGGTATGGTGTTCTTTGGATGCAACTCAGCATTCTTTGTCCTCCAAACACGACGAGTTGAGTTTTTACCAAAAAGTTATATTTTGGTTTCATCTGACCATATGACATTCTCCCAATCCTCTTCTGGATCATCCAAATGCACTCTAGCAAACTTCAGACGGGCCTGGACATGTACTGGCTTAAGCAGGGGGACATGTCTGGCACTGCAGGATTTGAGTACCTGGCGGCGTAGTGTGTTACTGATGGTAGGCTTTGTTACTTTGGTCCCAGCTCTCTGCAGGTCATTCACTAGGTCCCCCCGTGTGGTTCTGGGATTTTTCCTCACCGTTCTTGTGATCATTTTGACCCCATGGGGTGAGATCTTGCGTGGAGCCCCAGATCGAGGGAGATTATCAGTGGTCTTGTATGTCTTCCATTTCCTAATAATTGCTCCCACAGTTGATTTCTTCAAACCAAGCTGCTTACCTATTGCAGATTCAGTCTTCCCAGCCTGGTGCAGGTCTACAATTTTGTTTCTGGTGGTCCTTTGACAGCTCTTTGGTCTTGGCCATAGTGGAGTTTGGAGTGTGACTGTTTGAGGTTGTGGACAGGTGTCTTTTATACTGATAACAAGTTCAAACAGGTGCCATTAATACAGGTAACGAGTGGAGGACAGAGGAGCCTCTTAAAGAAGAAGTTACAGGTCTGTGAGAGCCAGAAATCTTGCTTGTTTGTAGGTGACCAAATACTTATTTGCCACCATAATTTGCAAATAAATTCATTAAAAATCCTACAATGTGATTTTCTGGAGAAAAAAATCTCAATTTGTCTGTCATAGTTGACGTGTACCTATGATGAAAATTACAGGCCTCTCTCATCTTTTTAAGTGGGAGAACTTGCACAATTGGTGGCTGACTAAATACTTTTTTCCCCCACTGTAATTGGATATAATATATGGCAAGTACTGGAAACAATAGAACACAATGAAAAATCAGGGAAACCAGGCTTGCTATTCATTGCAGACTTCAAAAAGGCATTTGATAAAGTACGACTGGTGTTTATATATAAATGCCTGGAGCATTTCAATATTGGAGAATCTGGAAAATCATGTATAGTAACCCTAGGTGTAAAATAGTCAATAATGGCTATTTCTCTGAAAGTTTTAAACTGTCAAGAGGAGTGAAACAATGTTGTCCACTATCGGCATATCTATTTATTATGGCCATCGAGATGTTAGCTATTAAACTCAGATCCAACAATAATATCAAGGGATTAGAAATCCAGGGCTTAAAAACAAAGGTGTCATTGTACGCTGATGATTCATGTTTTCTTTTAAATCCACAACTTGAATCCCTCCACAGCCTCATAGAGGATCTAGATACATTTCTAACCTCTCTGGATTACAAGCAAATTATGATAAATGTACTATATTACGTATTGGATCACTAAAAAATACAAATTTTAAATTACCATGTAGTTTACCAATAAAATGGTCTGACGGTGATGTGGATATACTCGGAATACATATCCCAAATTAAATAAATGATCTCACTCCAATACATTTTAATAGAAAGTTAGCTAAAATAAGATCAGATCTTGCTACCATGGAAAGGTAAATAACTGTACATTTGTGGAAAAATCACCCTGATTAACTCTTTAGTATTATCCCAGTTTACCTATTTGCTTATGGTCTTGCCTACGCCTAGCGAACCGTTTTTAAAATTATATGAGAAAAAAATATTCCATTTTATTTGGAACGGCAAGCAAGACAAAATTAAATGGGCCTATTTATATAATGAGTATGAATTCGGAGGACAGAAATGATTAAATATTAAAGCATTAGACCTATCACTAAAAGCTTCAGTCATACAAATGTTGTACTTAAATCCAAACTGGTTCTAGCAAATTAGTAAGATTGTCTCACCCAATGTTCAAGAATGGCCTTTTTTCACTTTATTCAGATTACAACCCCTCACTTTCAGGTATTTGAAAAGGAAATAATCCCCAAAATATCACTATTTCTAAAACAAGCCATAGAAAGTTGGTTGCAATTTCAATTTAATCCTCCAGAAACAACAGAACAAATATTGCAACAAATATTGTGGTTAAACTCAAATATACTAATTGATAAAAAAAAGTCCTTCAAAACTGTTGGAAAAGCATTCCAGGTGAAGCTGGTTGAGAGAATGCCAAGAGTGTGCAAAGCTGTCATCAAGGCAAAGGGTGGCTATTTGAAGAATCTCAAATATAAAATATATTTTTGATTTGTTTAACACTTTTGTCACACCCTGGCTCTGGGACTCATTATGTTGAGCCAGGGTGTGTTCATTCTATGTGTGTATTTCTATGTTGGTAATTCTGTTGTGTTTAATTCTATGTTTGCCTGAGTGACTCCCAATCAGAGGCAACGAGTGTCAGCTGTTGGCTGGTTGTCTCTGATTGGGAGCCATATTTAAACTGTATGTTTTTCCCTTTGGGTTTGTGGGTTTTTGTTCCGTGTTCGGTCATTGATACCGTTGGACGTCATGAGTCGTTTCTTGTTTTGTGTTTAAACTTTAACTAATTAAAGTATGTTTGTTCATCACGCTGCGCCTTGGTCTGTTCCATATGACGATCGTGACAGAAAAACCCACCATGCAACGACCAAGCAGCGTGTCCAGGGGCAGCTCTTGGGCTGGACATGGGAGGAAGCGCCGGGAGAAGAGACGGTGGAGGCGCGCCGTAGAGAGGAGCAACGGCGTGATCAGGGTCGTCGTCGGGCGGTCGAGAAGCAACCCCAGAAATTTTTTAGGGGGGGGCACACGGCATGGACGACGGGGCTGACGGAGGCAAAAGAGGGGCGGATTCTGGAGGCCACCAGGTTACGGATACACCGCCCTGTACGTCCTGTGCGGATGCCTCACACAGAGTGTGTGAGGGTAGGCATTCAGCCAGGACGGGTTGTGGCCGCTCTTCACTCCAGGGCTCCTATCCGTCTCCACAGCCCGGTTCGGCCTGTCCCTGCTCCACGCACCAAGCCTACGGTGTGCGTCGCCAGCCCAGCCCGGCCTGTCCCTGCTCCACGCACCAAGCCTACGGTGTGCGTCGCCAGCCCAGTCCGGCCTGTCCCTGCTCCACGCACCAAGCCTACGGTGTGCGTCGCCAGCCCAGTCCGGCCTGTCCCTGCTCCACGCACCAAGCCTACGGTGTGCGTCGCCAGCCCAGCCCAACCTGTCCCTGCTCCACGCACCAAGCCTACGGTGTGCGTCGCCAGCCCAGTCCGGCCTGTCCCTGCTCCACGCACCAAGCCTACGGTGTGCGTCGCCAGCCCAGCCCGACCTGTCCCTGCTCCACGCACCAAGCCTACGGTGCGCGTCGCCAGCCCGGCCCGGCCTGTTCCTGCCACTCGCACCAAGTATACGGTGCGCGTCGCCAGCCCGGCCCGGCCTGTTCCTGCCACTCGCACCAAGTCTACGGTGCGCGTCGCCAGCCCGGCCCGGCTTGTTCCTGCCACTCGCACCAAGTATACGGTGCGCGTCGCCAGCCCGGCCCGGCCTGAACCTGCCACTCGCACCAAGTATACAGTGCGCGTCGCCAGCCCGGCCCGGCCTGTTCCTGCCACTCGCACCAAGTATACGGTGCGCGTCGCCAGCCCGGCCCGGCCTGTTCCTGCCACTCGCACTAAGCCAGGGGTGCGAGATGTCAGCCTGGTAAGGCCCGTTCCTCCTCCACGCACCAAGCCAGGGGTGCGAGTCGTCAGCCTGGTAAGGCCCGTCCCTCCTCCACGCACCAAGCCAGGGGTGTGAGTCGTCAGCCTGGTAAGGCCCGTTCCTCCTCCACGCACCAAGCCAGGGATGCGCGTCGTCAGCCTGGTAAGGCCCGTTCCTCCTCCACGCACCAAGCCAGGGATGCGCGTCGTCAGTCCAGCACAACCCGTGCCTGGGTCACCGGTGCCTGGTAAGGTACCGGTCAACTGCTCCACTATGGAGCTGAAGCTAACCGCTCCTGCTAAGTCCAGTCCTGCTCCTGCCGGCGGGGCCAGACTGGACCAGGGGCGCTATGGGGGGTGTATTGGAGGGTGGTGGTCAAGGCCGGAGCCAGAACCGCCGCCGAGGAGGTATGCCCGCCCAGCCCTCCCCTGTTTTGTTCAGTTGAGGCGCGGTCGCAGTCCGCGCCTTTAGGGGGGGGTACTGTCACACCCTGGCTCTGGGACTCATTATGTTGAGCCAGGGTGTGTTCATTCTATGTGTGTATTTCTATGTTGGTAATTCTGTTGTGTTTAATTCTATGTTTGCCTGAGTGACTCCCAATCAGAGGCAACGAGTGTCAGCTGTTGGCTGGTTGTCTCTGATTGGGAGCCATATTTAAACTGTATGTTTTTCCCTTTGGGTTTGTGGGTTTTTGTTCCGTGTTCGGTCATTGATACCGTTGGACGTCACGAGTCGTTTCTTGTTTTGTGTTTAAACTTTAACTAATTAAAGTATGTTTGTTCATCACGCTGCACCTTGGTCTGTTCCATATGACGATCGTGACAACTTTTTTGGTTATTACATGATTCCATATGTGTTATTTCATAGTTTTGATGTATTCACTATTATTCTACAATGTAGAAAATAGTAAAAATAAAGAAAACCCCTTGAATGAGTAGGTGTTCTACAACTTTTGACCGGTAGTGCACTTGTGATAGGTCACAGCAGCATCAAGCCCAATCACCCACTCAAAATATATTTTGGTTACTTATTTTTACAGTATAGATATATATGATATTGTGAAGTAGCATGTTTATCAAATAGTAACAGTATTACAATATAAAGTGCTGTTTCTCTCAAAAGGCACCAGGTAAATGTGTTTCATAGATACCTGGTGCCTCTTCAAAAGGCGGGCAATTGTTGGTAGGCTGATGGATGCCACATTGGCAAAGGTGTCATCGTTCTCCTCAATGGCCTGCTTTATTTTGGACAGCGGTATGTCATTCCTGACCCTCACCATTTCCACCACTCCTGCTGGTCGGTCAGCATACGGCCACCATCATGGGGTCTTCTGTCAATTCTGAGGGTAGAACAGAGTATACTGTCAATAGATCATACTGTAACATGTTTTGTGAATTTACATGCATTACAATATGTCATTTACTGTAAATGTAATGGTAAAGCATAGTGGATATCCTGCAGACTTACCGGTTTTCTTGGCAAAATGTTCTCATGATCAAATTGACAGTTGATCTTTTCAGATTGGGGTGATCTGGCAGCCTCTGCCATGGTAAGGCCTCTGTTTACCATATGGTCAACGACGATGGCCTGGACTTCATTTGATACAACAGTTCCCTGCCGTCTGCCTCCCTCTCTCTGATGTCCACCTGTTTGACGGGGCCCAAGCCCATCTCTTTGACGGGGACCATGCCCACCTCTTTGACCTCTTTGATGGGGCCCATGCCCACTTCTCTGATTTCTTCCTCTCCCTTGCTGTCTATCGTTCTCCATGTTGAAAGAAATTGCAAGTGTTCACACACCACCTTTTATATGGTGACCAATTGTGGTTACCACTTTGTGAAATCAATTAGCAAAAACGAGTATTCATTATGTATGGTTATCATGTACTGTATCATACATGTAATTTAGATGTTTATACTTTACAAACACACCTTTTATTTCTTTAGTTCTCAAAATCCATATATAGTGGACAAACCAGTTTAAAATATATAGGTTTACCAAACGGTTAAGTGATTAACCATTAAGCGCAGTTGGATTAAGTGATGGTCAAATGTATTTAATGAGAAGAGAATCATATGAAAAGTATTGTCAGCATTGTATTGTGAAAGGCAACAACGTTATATGAAAGTTAGTTCTAGATTAAACACCGATTAGGTTTAGTGAAAAAGTTATTTGTGTGATTGTGTGTGTTGTACTTAGCCAATTGAAAATGTGCAAAAAAATGTTGTAAAACTGCCTTTTTGATGATCTGTTTTGTACTAAGAGTTGTGAAATTTTACCACATACTTGTGAAAATAGTACCAAAGTGATTTTAAAAAACAGTATATTATGTATTTTAATTGTTGTTTTGTTTCCTGTTTGGACCCCAGGAAGAGTAGCCGCTGCCTTGTGGATCCCAATAAATATTACTATAATACTAACGGTCTGCAGGGGTAGGCAATCCTGGTCTTTAGAGCCTGTGCAGGTTTATATCACAGCCGAGCACTAAATAATCATCTTTAAACAGTCAGCCTCTGAAAAATTCCTTGTAAAATAGAAAAGGTTCACCTTTCTGTTAAGAGCTCTGTGTTGTACTGTATGTGTCCTCAAGTTCAACTCTGTACCATCCCTACAGTACCTTAACCTAATCTCCTCCTCCCTCCACCAGTGTGTGCATATGTGTGCGCGTGCATGTACATGTGCGTGTGTATGTGTGTATGTGCGTGAGTGTGTGTGTGTGTGTGCGTGCTTATGCCGTTTGAGACAGTCAGTGAGCCATTGCACCTGCACCTTTGATCTAACGCCAGAGCCTGTCCTATTGCTGCAGTCTGATGCAGTGAAACCTCAGTCAGCATGAACGTTTTCAAGGCTACACAGCCTCTACCCACCCAGCCTTCCTATTAACCACCCACCCACCACACGCACGCTGACAACAAGAAATGGAATCAATGACACTGAAAAGATAAAGCCTTTGACGTTTTTGCTTTTTATTGAACCGTGCAAATTTAATTTAATTTATCTGCTTAATAAGAGTTCGATTTCCGCCCCGTCTACGGTGCCAGCTAAGGAATTAGTTTCGCTAGCTATGTATTTCTGCCATTAAACCAAACTCCAAACGTAGCCATTTCCATGGACAGCTGCTTATGTTTTGCTGCTAATTGGGACAACGTCAGGCTAATGTCTTCTAAAATCCTTTGCCAAATGCTCATCTAGTGAGTCACTGTTGAAATAATCCATCTGACAGAAGTAAAAATGTGTCTGTCAGCATCTTCTGTCACCCCCTCCTCATCTCAGGTCCCTCGTTCCCTTTAAGAAAGAGTAAAGAAGAAGAGAATGCGGTGACTGGAATGTGAAAGAAGCAGAATGACATTCTCAACAATAACGAAGCCTTGCCTTGCCTCTCTGCTCTTCCAGCTAAGTTGGATTCAAAACTGAAAGACACATTAAGATGCAGAAACAGAGTCTTGACAGTGATTGCAAAAGCTCCCCATTGTTGCTGCAGCAAATAATGCGTCCTCCTGGCTTTCGGCTTTGTCTCTGGCTGTGTCTCTGTGTGTGTGTCTAGCGAGGGCTCGTTTGTGGAGATTTAGCATGAAAGACAGAGCTATAGGGCTCTCCTCTCCTTTGGGGAAAACAATAATTTTTGATTGGGCCTCTCAATCTAACCACATGACACACTGATTCTGGCTGTGTTGGTTTAGGAGCAATAGTCATGGGCAGTGGTGTCTCCACATGTCTTTTGGCTCTGTGACACATGTCCTGTGTGTGTGTGTGTGTGTGTGTGTGTGTGTGTGTGTGTGTGTGTGTGTATGTGTGTGTTGGTAGGTCCAGCTGGGAGATGTACTTTGAGGACATCGTTTTATTAAGGGATCTGATGTTACTCCTGTGTGTTTGAGCATCAAGCTTTATGCGTCCTCACACAATTCTAGGAACAAAAGCTCTGTCGTGAGGAGAATGTCTTTTTGCATATGTTTGGCACACAGGGTTGTTGCTAAAAATTTGCATCTGTGAGAAGAGACTAGTCATTTGTAATCCTACTTTCAGACATAATGTGATATTTACAGCATTTGGAATCATGCAGTGGGCTTCTCAAAATATAAAAAAGGTAACTTTCATTACAGAATGTTATTTATCCATCTCTGTGTCTCCTTAAATCTCTCACTCCACAGGAAAAACAGTGTTTTGTTACTGATTGAGTGTGGGGGAAAGCTATTTCTCACTCTTCCTCACTTGTTCTACCCCCTCTGTTTGAATATACATCTCGCCCTATCTGTCTCTCTGTCTCTGTCTCTCTCTCGTTGTCTCTGTCTCTCAGACGAGTAATTGTATTTTTCATTAGTGCAAACTCTATGCTCTGAGGGCTCATTACCCACATTGTTATCTCTCTCTCTCTCTCTCTCTATATATATATATATATATATATATATACAGTGGGGAGAACAAGTATTTGATACACTGCCGATTTTGCAGGTTTTCCTACTTACAAAGCATGTAGAGGTCTGTAATTTTTATCATAGGTACACTTCAACTGTGAGAGACAGAATCTAAAAATCCAGAAAATCACATTGTATGATTTTTAAGTAATTCATTTTCATTTTATTGCATGACATAAGTATTTGATCACCTACCAACCAGTAAGAATTCCGGCTCTCACAGACCTGTTAGTTTTTCTTTAAGAAGCCCTCCTGTTCTCCACTCATTACCTGTATTAACTGCACCTGTTTGAACTCACTACCTGTATAAAAGACAACTGTCCACACACTTAATCAAACAGACTCCAACCTCTCCACAATGGCCAAGACCAGAGAGCTGTGTAAGGACATCAGGGATAAAATTGTAGACCTGCACAAAGCTGGGATGGGCTACAGGACAATAGGCAAGCAGCTTGGTGAGAAGGCAACAACTGTTGGTGCATTTATTAGAAAATGGAAGAAGTTCAAGATGACGGTCAATCAACCTCGGTCTGGGGCTCCATGCAAGATCTCACCTCGTGGGGCATCAATGACCATGAGGAAGGTGAGGGATCAGCCCAGAACTACACGGCAGGACCTGGTCAATGACCTGAAGAGAGCTGGCACCACAGTCTCAAAGAAAACCATTAGTAACACACTACGCCGTCATGAATTAAAATCCTGTAGCGCACGCAAGGTCCCCCTGCTCAAGCCAGCGCATGTCCAGGCCCGTCTGAAGTTTGCCAATGACCATCTGGATGATCCAGAGGAGGAATGGGAGAAGGTCATGTGGTCTGATGAGACAAAAATAGAGCTTTTTGGTCTAAACTCCACTCGCCGTGTTTGGAGGAAGAAGAAGGATGAGTACAACCCCAAGAACACCATCCCAACCGTGAGGCATGGAGGTGGAAACATCATTCTTTGGGGATGCTTTTCTGCAAAGGGGACAGGACGACTGCACCGTATTGAGGGGAGGATGGATGGGGCCATGTATCGCGAGATCTTGGCCAACAACCTCCTTCCCTCAGTAAGAGCATTGAAGATGGGTCGTGGCTGGGTCTTCCAGCATGACAATGACCCAAAACACACAGCCAGGGCAACTAAGGAGTGGCTCCGTAAGAAGCATCTCAAGGTCCTGGAGTGGCCTAGCCAGTCTCCAGACCTGAACCCAATAGAAAATCTTTGGAGGGAGCTGAAAGTCCGTATTGCCCAGCGACAACCCCGAAACCTGAAGGATCTGGAGAAGGTCTGTATGGAGGAGTGGGCCAAAATCCCTGCTGCAGTGTGTGCAAACCTGGTCAAGACCTACAGGAAACGTATGATCTCTGTAATTGCAAACAAAGGTTTCTGTACCAAATATTAAGTTCTGCTTTTCTGATGTATCAAATACTTATGTCATGCAATAAAATGCAAATGAATTACTTAAAAATCATACAATGTGATTTTCTGGATTTTTGTTTTAGATTCCGTCGCTCACAGTTGAAGTGTACCTATGATAAAAATTACAGACCTCTACATGCTTTGTAAGTAGGAAAACCTGCAAAATCGGCAGTGTATCAAATACTTGTTCTCCCCACTGTATATATACATATATATATATATATATATATATATACATACATACATATACATATATATATTTATACATACATACATATACATATATATATATATAGTGCCACTCCTCAGTAAAAGGCACGACAGCCCGTTTGGAGTTTGCCAAAAGGCACCTAAAGACTCTCAGACCATGAGAAACAAGATTCTCTGGTCTGATGAAACCAAGATTGAACTATTTGGCCTGAATGCCAAGCGTCACATATGGAGGAAACCTTGCACCATCCCTACGGTGAAGCATGGTGGTGGCAGTATCATGCTGTGGGGATGTTTTTCAGCGGCAGGACTGGGAGACTAGTCAGCATCGAGGCAATGATGAACGGAGCAAAGTACAGAGAGAAAACCTGCTCCAGAGCGCTCAGGACCTCAGACTTGGATAAAGGTTCACCTTCCAACAGGACAACGACCCTAAGCACACAGCCAAGACAACGCAGGAGTGGCTTCGGGACAAGTCTCTGAATGTCCTTGAGTGGCCCAGCCAAAGCCCGGACTTGAACCTGATCGAACATCTCTGGAGAGACATGAAAATAGCTGTGCAGCAATGCTCCCCATCCAACCTGACAGCGATTGAGAGGATGTGCAGAGAAGATTGGGAGAAACTCCCCAAAAACAGGTGTGCCAAGCTTGTAGCATCATACCCAAGAAGAATCGAGTCTGTAATCGCAGCCAAAGGTGCTTCAACAAAGTACTGAGTAAAGGGTCTGAATACTTATGTAAATGTAATATTTCCGTTTTTTATTTTTAATGAATTAGGACACATTTCGAAAAACCTCTTTCTGCTTTGTCATTACGGGGTATTGTGTGTAGATTGAAAAAAACTATTTAATCAATTTTAGAATATGTCTGTAACGTAACAAAATGTGGAAAAAGTCAAGGGGTCTGAATACTTTCCGAAGGCACTGTATATACAGTACCAGTCAAAGGTTTGGACACACCTATTCATTCAAGGGTTTTTCTTTATTTTTACTATTTTCTACATTGTAGAATAATAGTGAAGACAACAAAACTATGAAATAACACATATGGAATCATGTAGTATCCAAAAAAGTGTTAAACAAATCAAAATATATTTTATATTTGAGATTCTTCAAATAGCCACCCTTTTCCTTGATGACAGCTTTGCACACTCTTGGCATTCTCTCAACCAGCTTCATTAGGAATGCTTTTCAAAACAGTCTTGAAGGATTTCCCACATACGCTGAGCACTTGTTGGCTGCTTTTCCTTCACTCTGCGGTCCAACTTATCCCAAACCATCTCAATTGGGTTGAAGTCGGTGATTGTGGAGGCCAGGTCATCTGATGCAGCACTCCATCACTCTCCTTCTTTGTCAAATAGCCCTTACAGAGCCTGGAGGTGTGTTGGTTCATTGTCTTGTTGAAAAACAAATGATGTTCCCACTAAGCGCAAACCAGATGGGATGGCGTATCGCTGCAGAATGCTGTGGTAGCCATGCTGGTTAAGTGTGCCTTGAATTCTAAATAAATCACTGACAGTGTCACAAGCAAAGCACCACCACACCGTCACACCTCCTCCTACGTGCTTCACAGTGGGAACCACACATGTGGAGACCATCCGTTCACCTACTCCGTTCACAAAGACAAGGTGGTTGGAACCAAAAATCTCACATTTGGACTCATCAGACCAAAGGACAGATTTCCACCGGTCTAATGTCCATTGCTCGTGTTTCTTGGCCCAAGCAAGTCTCTTCTTCTTATTGGTGTCCTTTAGTAGTGGTTTCTTTGCAGCAATTCTACAATGAAGGCCTGATTCACGCAGTCTCTCTGAACAATTGATGTTGAGATGTGTCTGTTACTTGAACTCTATGAAGCATTTATTTGGGCTGCAATTTCTGAGTCTGGTAACTCTAATGAACTAATCCTCTGCAGCAGAGGTAACTCTGGGTCTTCCTTTCCTGTGGCGGTCCTCATGAGAGCCAGTTTCATCATAGCGCTTGATGGTTTTTGCGACTGCACTTGAAGAAACGTTCAAAGTTCTTGACATTTTCCGGATTGACTGACCTTCATGTCTTAAAGTAATGATAGACTGCCGTTTCTCTTTGCCTATTTGAGCTGTTCTTGCCATAATATTTGTTTTTTTATATATATATTTTTTTGTCATTTAGCAGACGCTCTTATCCAGAGCGACTTACAGTTAGTGAATACATTTTTTTTTTTATACTGGCCCCCCGTGGGAATTGAACCCACAACCCTGGTGTTGCAAACTGAGCTACATCCCTGCCGGCCATTCCCTCCCCTACCCTGGACCAATTGTGCGCCGCCCATGAGTCTCCCGGTCGCGGCCGGCTGCGACAGAGCCTGGATTCGAACCAGGATCTCTAGTGGCACAGTTAGCACTGCGATGCAGTGCCTTAGACCACTGCGCCACTCCAGTAATATGGACTTGGTCTTTTACCAAATAGGGCTATCTTCTGTATACCCCCCCCCCTACCTTGTCACAACACAACTGATTGGCTCAAATGCATTAAGAAGGAAAGAAATTCCACAAATTAACAAGGTACACCTGTTAATTGAAATGCATTCCAGGTGACTACCTCATGAAGCTGTTTGAGAGAATGCCAAAGAGTGTGCAAAGCTGTCATCAAGGTAAAGGATGGCTACTTTGAAGAATCTTAAATATAAAATATATATTTGTTTAACCCTTTTTCATAGTTTTGATGTCTTTACTATTATTATACAATGTAGAAAATAGTAAAAATAAAGAAAAACCCTTGAATGAGTAGGTGTGTCCACACTTTTGACTGGTACTGTATATCTTTCTGCCTTTCAGTGTGCCATCAATAATGAGTGTGATGAGTGTCCTTTTCGACCTCCTTTCGTGTGCAGACTCTATCAATCTATCCACACAGTATGATAACTGATAACCAGAATCTAGGCCTTATCCATATCCCCCTCTCTCCAGGAGTGTTCACGTTAAGCATCTAACAGGTATTTCTCCCTCTCCAGGAGTGTACACGTTCAGCCTCTAACATGTATCTCTCGCTCTCTCTCCAGGAGTGTACACTTTCGGGCTGTTCACCGTGGACATCTTTGTAAACGCGGGCCAGGTGGTGACGGGGAACCTGTCCCCCCACTTCCTGACGGTGTGTAAACCCAACTTCACAGCCCTGGGCTGCCAGCACGCCCTGCGCTACATCAGCCACCAGGAGGCCTGCACCGGGAATCAGGAGGATATCCTGCGTGCACGCAAAACCTTCCCCTCCAAAGAGGCTGCTCTCAGCGTCTACGCAGCCCTCTATCTCGCGGTGAGTGGGAACCTAGGAACTAAAGATACATGTTTAGTGAGTGAGTGAGTGAGTCCCTGTTACAACTACTCACTAATGAAATGTAATAACTATTGAATACATATTAGGATTATATAGTTGTAGTAGGAATACAAAGTAAGCTTTCGGACCTGTACAGACTTCACTGGGACATCTAGGGGTGAAAGGGTAATTCCAAGATTCTGTGAGGGACAGGCTTTAGAACACCTTAATGATACAAGTGGATTTAGTGAGTAGGCCCGATAGATGCAGGTCTTGGATGGGCTGCTATTCAGCTGTTTCTTTGATGGCTATGAGTCAGATTAGATGCGAAGAACGCTGCAGAATATATCCTGGTAGTCTCTAAACCTGTATAATCTGTTAATCAATTCTTGTCAGATTGGACTAGACTGTCGTGTCTCATAATCTTGTTTTCGTTTTGGACTCTGGTTTCGAGTCACAGCCTTTCATTGGTCGAAGAGTGTCTGCTGGTAAGATGCAATTGTTTGAAGATTTCATATTTGATATTTCACTTTTTTTTATCAAATTTGTTCCATCACCTACACAGTATGTAGATCTACTTTCTCTATATGGTTTTGGACTGAAGCTTTGCTTTTAATCTGGCTGGTAGATTTACATAGAAATTGACATCTCCAAGTCTCTAAACAGTTCTGTCTTTTTGTCCAGCTGCTGATATGCGTATAGATGGATTTCTCCAAGTCTCTGAGATGTTCTGCTGGAGGAGTATGTACAGTGACCTCCAAAACTATTGCCACCCTTGATAAAGATGAGCAAAAAAGACTGTATAAAATAAATAATACAAATACCGAGCTATATTGTATGCTCAGGGTTGGGTTGTAATGGATTACATGTAACAGGCATTACATGATCCGATTACAAAAATGAAGTAACTGTAATCAGCCGGGGGAAAAACAATAGGATTACAGTTACATTCTTAAAAACAGCTGATTACATTTGGGATGACTTTATCAAATAACAAGAGGACATTTGATAAAACTTTGTTAGCTCTGCTGTCATTTAGCGCACCATCAAGACTTCTCACATGCACTCAGAGATTCTATTGTCCTGCTGATGGCCCACTAACCCTTGGCCTACAATGGTCGCGCCCCTGCGGAAATCCAATTAACATAATACAAAAATCCTCATCAAAATCCGTCTGTTTATACTAGGGATATGTGGTTTTTTGCATGGGCTGCGTCTCAATCCACTGCATCCACTGATAATGCCCTTCCGCATCTGTGGTGAAAGGTGGCAGAGCTAGAGGGGTGTTTGTCAGACCATGAGACATCTCACGGAAATCTCTGTAGCTTCTGAAACTATTATGACCACTCTATTGAAAGCTGAGACTCTCACGAACACGATGGTGTTCTCCGTCTTGCTCTAGGATGCCCACAAGCCTCACAAGCCTCATCTGAAGGTCCTGACTATATGGAGATAGTTTAGTGCCTAAAATAAGGGGATAAATACATAAAATATATATAGTTTCCTGCAGGGGCGGTGTGTTCAATAGGGCGATATGGGCGACGCACTGCCAAACGGGAAAAGGAAGGGATTTTTTTTCTAATCAATTATATCACGGCAACAGTAGTTATCAGTGTTCTAATCTGATCTGACTGCCACTAAATGTCCAATCAGGCTAAAGTCGTGCTTCAAATGCCCCCCCCCCCCCCCCCCCCCCCTTTTGGGGCGATTTCAGTCAGGTTGAAAATCGCCCAGAAGTCTGTCATAGACTCCCATGTAAAATCTATTTTTTTCAAATTTCAGAGCTTTCAATACAATCTCTATGGGTTTCTGAGGGCTTGCACTTACGCGCTTTCGTCATACGTAACGTAACCATGAACGTAACTAAGAAAATAGCGGGTAGCAGCGTCTCTGTTGCGACCTGCAGTGTGGCGTTATCTTATGTTTTTAATTTGTACACTTAGTGGCGTTATTTTATGTTTTTAATTTGTACACTTAGTTTACACACATTCTGCCAACCATGGATTTCCAGTGGTGGGTTTTGGACTGATCTTGTTGATCGTGTACATACCCGCTACGAACGGACTAAATAATGAAAACGCTGCTGGCAGCGGAATCCAATACAGCAGAACAAACTTCCCTTACCCACCACCTTGCTGATTAATGCCCAGTCACTGAGGGGGAAAGCGGATGAGTTGTCAGCGAATCTGCGCTTCCAACACGAATATCGGGAGGCCTGTTTGCTGGCATTTACTGAGACTTGGCTGGATGACAGAGTCCCGGACAGAGAAGTGGAGCCGGCCGGCTTCACCCTGGTCAGAGCGGACCGCGATCTGACAGTCACAGGGAAAATCGATCCTGGTAAGAGAGCGACTCTGTACCCCCGACATTGAACTGCTTTCTGTGTCACTGCGACCTTACTATCTGCCCCGTGAGTTCCCCCAATTGTTTGTTACCGTTGTGTACATTCAACCAAAAGCTAATATAACAAAGGCATCAGAGATTATTTATAATCTGTCACAGAAACTGGAATCCATCTCCCCAGATCAGTCAATAAATGCTTCTGGTATTGATTTATATGCTGCCCCTGTCTTCATGTTGTTGCTGGACATATCTTTTTTAAAATGTGTGTAGGTCACCTAAATCATCAGAAAAATTGCCCCCCCTAAGAATTTTTTCAGGAGCCGCCACTGGTTTCCTGATCTTGCTTATGTCTCTCAGCTATAGGACAGACACTTCAGAACAAACTTCCTTTAGATTTTTTGGGGGACTATCTGTTGTTTCATGTAGTGAATCTGTTATTCAATGTGTTTCTATTGGCTAATAGCAGTAATACCAAATTCAATGTTTCATCAAATCATTTTTTTAGATTTGTTTTTATACCTTGAGGGGTCTTAAAATTTAAAATCAAGCTAAAATATCCTTGGTATGACCATCTTAAAACAATTTCATGAAAGCTTAGAACCCCCCCCCCCCCCCCCCCCCCCCCCCAGAGGGTTAAGGGTGGATTGTTTATTTTGCATTCAAACTGGTTGAATTAATAATCTTGGTTACCCAGAAGTAAAAATATCTTGCGAAAGTTTGTCATTTCCTGCTTTACTTCAGGGGGGAATGCCGTTAGCAATTGTGATTACTTTTGTGCAAAGGAAGGAAGCGAAGTCTCCCACGCAAACAGAAACTCTCGGCCAAACCCCTTCCTTCTGCTAATTTCACCCGTGTTTATCATGGCCAAAAAGCTAATTTTTGTTTTCATGAATTGTTAAGATATAGCCAATTTTGACTTTGTGGCTGTGGAATCTAGTGGAAACCGTTGATCATCCTCACGCAGGCTTGAAAATCATCACACCAGTTTAAGCAACGCCTTCTCCCAAACCTGACTCATCCAAATAAACAATGACGAAAACCCAAAACCAGGAACTACTACTGCTCGTATTCACACAATTCTACATGAGCCTTGACAGATTCTCACCATTTCATCTGTCCACGAGAGATTAAATGAATAGGTTAAAGTTCCAAACTATTTATACAGTGGGGGAAAAAAAGTATTTAGTCAGCCACCAATTGTGCAAGTTCTCCCACTTAAAAAGATGAGAGAGGCCTGTAATTTTCATCATAGGTACACGTCAAATATGACAGACAAATTGAGGAAAAAAATTCCTGAAAATCACATTGTAGGATTTTTTATGAATTTATTTGCAAATTATGGTGGAAAATAAGTATTTGGTCACCTACAAACAAGCAAGATTTCTGGCTCTCACAGACCTGTAACTTCTTCTTTAAGAGGCTCCTCTGTCCTCCACTCGTTACCTGTATTAATGGCACCTGTTTGAACTTGTTATCAGTATAAAAGACACCTGTCCACAACCTCAAACAGTCACACTCCAAACTCCACTATGGCCAAGACCAAAGAGCTGTCAAAGGACACCAGAAACAAAATTGTAGACCTGCACCAGGCTGGGAAGACTGAATCTGCAATAGGTAAGCAGCTTGGTTTGAAGAAATCAACTGTGGGAGCAATTATTAGGAAATGGAAGACATACAAGACCACTGATAATCTCCCTCGATCTGGGGCTCCACGCAAGATCTCACCCCGTGGGGTCAAAATGATCACAAGAACGGTGAGCAAAAATCCCAGAACCACACGGGGGGACCTAGTGAATGACCTGCAGAGAGCTGGGACCAAAGTAACAAAGCCTACCATCAGTAACACACTACGCCGCCAGGGACTCAAATCCTGCAGTGCCAGACGTGTCCCCCTGCTTAAGCCAGTACATGTCCAGGCCCGTCTGAAGTTTGCTAGAGTGCATTTGGATGATCACGAAGAGGATTGGGAGAATGTCATATGGTCAGATGAAACCAAAATAGAACTTTTTGGTAAAAACTCAACTCGTCGTGTTTGGAGGACAAAGAATGCTGAGTTGCATCCAAATAACACCATACCTACTGTGAAGCATGGGGGTGGAAACATCATGCTTTGGGGCTGTTTTTCTGCAAAGGGACCAGGACGACTGATCCGTGTAAAGGAAAGAATGAATGGAGCCATGTATCGTGAGATTTTGAGTGAAAACCTCCTTCCATCAGCAAGGGCGTTGAAGATGAAACGTGGCTGGGTCTTTCAGCATGACAATGATCCCAAACACACCGCCCGGGCAACAAAGGAGTGGCTTCGTAAGAAGCATTTCAAGGTCCTGTAGTGGCCTAGCCAGTCTCCAGATCTCAACCCCATAGAAAATCTTTGGAGGGAGTTGAAAGTCTGTGTTGCCCAGCGACAGCCCCAAAACATCACTGCTCTAGAGGAGATCTGCATGGAGGAATGGGCCAAAATACCAGCAACAGTGTGTGAAAACCTTGTGAAGACTTACAGAAAACGTTTGACCTGTGTCATTGCCAACAAAGGGTATATAACAAAGTATTGAGAAACTTTTGTTATTGACCAAATACTTATTTTCCACCATAATTTGCAAATAAATTCATAAAAAATCCTACAATGTGATTTTCTGGATTTTTTTTCCTCATTTTGTCTGTCATAGTTGACGTCTGTCATAGTTGACGTGTACCTATGATGAAAATTACAGGCCTCTCTCATCTTTTTAAGTGGGAGAACTTGCACAATTGGTGGCTGACTAAATACTTTTTTCCCCCACTGTACGTGGCCCACTAGTCAATCAGACAGTCGTTTGGACTCTATCGAGTTCCTACTTGCTGCTTTGCAGCATTGTGCTTTCACTCTCTCTCCTTTGTGTGCACCGAGTAGTGGGAAAGAAAAATGCTTTATGATTGAGTAATATTTCAAAAAACCCTGTCTTGTAAGCAGTCATTGACACTTTTGAAGAGAGCATATAGAAATCGTGGCCGTAATTGAAGCCATTTTTAAGTGTAATGCAGTTGATTGGTGACAATGACATGAACATGTATTGCGGTTGACATAATTACAAGCATTATACTCCGATTTCTACCCACTAGTTTGAAATACATTATTATAAACAATAGCTTAAATGTAGGCTAATTTTGATGGGGGACAATGAGGCGATTCTGAATCTTTCCCCCACGAGGAGGAACCAATAATTTGTATAAACTCTGGATGACTGACAGGGTGCGCTGTATTGAAGCCACCACACAGCCATCTTGGTACTCCTGAAGGCTAGTCAAAGGCTGCTCATGGCTCACATCATCCCAGACACACTTGACCCACTCCAATTCGCATACTGCCCCAACAGATCCACAGATGACGCAATCTCTATTGCACTCCACACTGCCCTCACCCATCTGGACAAAACAAATACCTATGTAAGAATGCTGTTCATTGACTACAGCTCAGCATTCAACACCAACCATAGTCCCCTCCACCAAATGTAAACGCCTGGAGTTTGCACATCAGTGGTGGGTTTGGCATCGAAAGAAGGATGCATATGAAGAAAATAACCTCATGCCTACTGTAAAATATGGTGGTGGATCGTTGATGTTATGGGGCTGTTTTTCTTCCACTGGTCCTGGGGCAATTGTTAAGGTCAATGGCATCATGAACTCTACCAAGTACCAATATATTTTTGCCAAAAACCTGGTTGCCTCTGCCACGAGGCTGAAACTTGGCCGCAAATTACACAAAGCACACATCAAAATCCACCAAGAAATTGTTAATTGACCACATAATCAAAAAAAAAAAAATGTCCATCTCAGTCTCTGGACTTAAACCCCATTGAAAACCTGTGGTTTGAATTGAAGAGGGCAGTCCATAAGCGCAGACCGAAGGATATCAAGGATCTGTAAAGATTCTGTATGGAGGAATGGTCTAAGATCTTTCCCAATGTGTTCTCCAATCTCATAAAACAGAAGAAAAAGGTGCCGATATCATCGCAAGGGGAGGGTGCACAAAGCATTGTAATTTTGACACCTATCTATTTTTATTCATTACTTGTTAAATAAAATCTATTTCTCTGAGCAATTGTATAAGTATAAAATATTATAATTTCCCAATAAATAATACAAATAGCTCATGTATTTTTTGCTCATCTTTATCAAGGGTGCCAATAATTTTGGAGGTGACTGTATACACATCTGACTAGCCTGCAGTAGTAGTGACATCATCATCAGCCTTGGCTGCCTGTGTTTGGAATGCAGATGTGCAGGCAAGAAGGCAGGCACAGAAGGCAGCATAGGATCAGATTCTGTTCATCAGCTCCAATAAGCCCAAACACAGAAGCCAGAAAGCAGAAAGCACTTGTCTACTGCACGCACGCACGTACACACTACAGTTGAGGAACAATGGGAAAGTAATTGCTGCTTTGAAAGTTGATAAACTTGTAAGCTCACTTTTGAGAAAATGGCCCTTGAATGTTTTGGTACCTACTGGAGAGCTCTTCTTTGTCTAAATGTTACATTTACATTTTAGTCATTTAGCAGACGCTCTTATCCAGAGCGACTTACAGTTAGTGAGTGCATACATTTTCATACTGGCTACACCCATTCAGCATCGTTCACACCCTCTTAAAACCTTTAGCCCCACCCATCTCTTTAAGGATTCACATGTGAGGCTATGTACTAAACAACCAAAGATTTCAAGACTAAAGGCTGGCTTATACCACGGGTGAGTTCGTAAATGTAATCTGGAGTGCCAGAGTGTGCTCTGGGCATTCATAAACTCAGAGCGTTGTCAGATTGGTGTTCGTAAATTCAGAGCGTTTCGCTCTCCGAGCGTTCAGAGCACACACTGGACGCTCTGGCCGAAAAGTTGGGTTGATCCGAGCGCTCTGACCTAACAACAGCTGTCAAGCACCCAAGCTAACTGGCTAATGTTGGCTAGCTTGCGAGCTACTTCCAGACACAAATGAGAGAACAGCTCACTCTGACCATTTTACTTGCCCTAGCAGAGCTGGTTAGGCTGTTTTTATGTTATCCAGAGCGTTGGTGACTGCAACTGTGCTGTTGGCAACAATTTCATTATGCTTTTTTGCCAACGTTTACTGACACCGGCCATATTCAACGGGTGTTGAGCGTTCATAAATTTGCTCAGACGAGAGTGCTCTGAAATCTGAGTAGATAGCCAGAGCAAATTTACCAGCTACGTCTATTGACAGTTGTTGCAGTGACATCATAAACATTCTATTGAAATAGTTACTTGCATAGTGGAGTCTTTTGTTTAGACATGTAGCTAGCTAGCTAAACAATGAACGATAATCCCAACTCATAACGTTACTACCCTGCAATAATCTGCAGTTAGCTAACCAACCAGGTTCAATGTTAGCTAGCTAACATTAGGCTATAACTAGCAATGCACATGGCTCTGAGATACAAATAATATTACTACACAGATCATACACGTAACGTTAGCTAACAGTACACTTGAAATGAAAAGGACTTTCTGACAAAATTAGAAACGTGTAATATCTGACTCTCTTACCCGTATACATGGATGGACACTTCTCCCTCTCTGTCACGGATGCCATGGTTGCCCTTAGTTTGAAGATATAATCTGTGTTCTCTTTTCGACTCCGTCTGCATATTTGCAATGAAACGCCAGAATTGTCTCCATCTCCTTAGCTATCATACTCTAATTCCATTGATTTCAAAACTCAATCCTCCAGAAAGTGGAGAGCAACACTTATGCAGTTCTACTATGTGATATCTTTAAAAAAAAGCTGTGTTACGAAGGATTACCTACACATACTGACCAGCTCATATTATAGACAGAAGCGAGCTACATGGCAGACCAATCCGAACTCATCTCTCAGCATGTCCAGCCCACTCATTATCTCAGCCAATCATGGCTAGCGGGAAGGTTGCTGTCTTTTTCCATAGCTAAACCAACTAGGCTCGTAATTTAACAATTTTATTCATATTTACAGATGGCATACAAGTTTGTTATTAAGGCACATGAAAGTTCACATGTTCCAGAAGGCATTTCTGCCTAAAAACACATTGTAATAAATAAATAAAATGTTTACGTTCAAATGGTGCTCTTGTGAAGTAGTGACGCGTGACATATGAATAGTTTCCTGAAACGAGTCACATATATAGTACACTACTTTTTACCAGGGCACTATGTAGGAAATAGGGTGCATTTTGGGATGCAGACTGAATCTGGAAATATTTCAGGAACAGCCCACATGAAAAAATACTATAGTATTCACTGTAGTGTTTTTGCAGACTTTTCTGTAGTATTCACTGTAGTATTTTTGTGAACTAAAGTCAGCAAACACACTACAGTGAATACTGTAGTATTTACTTTAGTATACTGTAGTATTTACTTTAGTATACTGTAGTATTTACAGTTAATGCTTGTATAAATACTCTGGTAAAAGAAAACAGTAGTGAAAACAGTAAAATTAATGTAGTGTTTTTGGAGATTGTAGTATACTGTAGTATTTACTTTGGTGTTTTTGCGGACATTACTGTAGTATTTACTGTAGTGTTTTTGTTTTATTATCTTTGACATAGAGGTGGAGGCTTCCTCCTTGAGGAAACCTACTGGAGAAATACTAAAAGAGCACATTTTCCAAAACCTGTAGGTAGGACTGGGGTCTGAACGGATAGTTCAGAGCCTCTACTCTTTTCTATAACCTGTAGGGAACACAATATATGGTCTATAGGTTTCTCACTTATAGGTGTCACCAATTGGGATATGTGATAGGGGAATGGGCAGGGTATATGCACATTAAAAACTGTAGTATTTACTATAGTTTTAAAAAGTAGAGTGTTTTTGCGGACTGTAGTGTTTTTGTGGACATTACTGTAGTATTTACTATAGTGTTTTTGCGGATAATACTGTAGTATTTATATAATATTCTACAGTATACTACAACATTCTATAGTAAGAACTACACATGATCAAGGAACACTTCAGTGTGTAGTATAGTATTCATCCGTATATTACAGTTTACTACAGAATACTATAGTAAGTACTGTAGTATTCTCTAGTAAACTGTAGTATTTCATGTGGGATGGTTAATATATCCAACATGACAGCAGATCATGACAAACATATTGATATACCGTATATTTTTTAAAATCTTGGCTACGAATTCTTTGGCTACGAGGAAGACTGGAGTAGGACTTTAAAGGGAAAACTGATCCTAGATCAGCACTCATACACTGAGACACCATGTGAATATGAGTCCCGTTCAGAGGACCACAGTCTGATGGCAGTGTCTTTCATAAGGAACGACGTCACTGCAGCCTACAGCTACAGGGGAATACACTTCCCAGATCAAACTCTGTCAGATTTCCTTATCTCTGATGTGTTAGATAATCTTAAGGTTTACAGTACCTTCAGAACGTTCACACTTCTTGACTTTTTCCACATTTTGTTGTGTTACAAAGTGGGATTAAAATTTATGCAATTGTAATTTTTTTGTCAATGATTTACACAAAATACTGTGTAATGTGAAAGTGGAAGAAAAATTCTAACATATTTAAAAAATATAAAAAAAATAAAACACTATTATATCGTTATCCTTTTAAAAATTCTTCAAGATCTGTCAATTTGGTTGTTGATCGTTGCTAGACAACCATTTTAAAGTCTTGCCATAGATTTTCAAGCCAATTTAAGTCAAAACTGTAACTAGGCCAATCAGGAACATTCAATGTCATCTTGGTAAGCAACTCCAGTGGTCCTCTGTAGCTCAGCTGGTAGAGCATGGCGCTTGTAACGCCAGGGTAGTGGGTTCAATCCCCAGGACCACCCATACACACACAAAAAAAATGTATGACTGTAAGTTGCTTTGGATAAAAGCGTCTGCTAAATGGCTTATTATTTGGCCTTGTGTTTTAGGGAGTCCTGCTGAAAGGTGAATTTGTCTCCCAGTGTCTGTTGGAAAGCATACTGAATCAATTTTTCCTCTAGGATTTTGCCTGTGCTTAGCTCTATTCCATTTATTTTTATCCTAAAAAACTCCCTAGTCCTTGCCAATGACAATCATACCCATAACATGATGCAGCCACCACCATGCTTGAAAATATGAAAAGTGGTACTCAGTGATGTGTTGTGTTGGATTTGCCCCAAACATATCGCTTTGTATTCAGGACAAAAAGTTCATTTCTTAGCATATTGTTTTGCAGTATTACTTTTGTGCCTTATTGGAAACGGGATGCATGTTTTGGAATATTTTTATTCTGTACAGGCTTCCTTCTTTTCACTCTGTCATTTATGTTAGTATTGTGGAGTAACTACAATGTTGTTAATCCATCCAGCCATTAAACTCTGTAACTGTTTTAAAATCCCCTTTGGCATCATTGAGGAAATCCCTTAGCGGTTTCCTTCCTCTCTGGAAACTGAGTTAGGAAGGGCCTCTGTATCTTTTTTGTGACTGGGCGTATTGATGCACCATCCAAAGTGTAATTAATAACGGCACAATGCTCAAAGGAATAATCAATGCCTGCTTCTTTTTTTTTACCCATCTACCAATAGGTGCCTTTCTTTGCGAACCATTTGAAAACCTCCTTGGTCTTTGTGGTTGAATCTGTGTTTGGATTTCACTGCTCGACTGAGGGATCTTGCAGATAATTGTATGTGTGGGGTAAAGAGCTGGGATAGTCATTTAAAAAGTCCATGCAACCTATTATGTGACTTGTTAAGCACATTTTTACTCCCGAACTTATTTAGGCTTGCCATAACAAAAGGGTTGAATACTTATTGAGTCAAGACATTTCAGCTTTTCATTTTTAATTAATATGTAAACATTTTTAAAAACATAATTCCACTTTCACATTATGGGGTATTGTGTGTAGGCCAGTAACCACAAAATCTCAATTTAATAAGTTAAATTCAGGCTATTAAACAACAGAATGTGATTCGTTTCAGGAAAAACTAGGCGTATATTGCCTGGCTGGGCTGATGAGACAGTGGATTGCGCAGTGAGATGGAACAGAGTAAATAGGCATTTCAACATCATAGTTTTAGCCGCTGGTAATTTGTGGAATAGACACCGGCTGGAATGCAGTTTTAACCAATCAGCATCCAGGATTAGACACACCCATTGTGTAATGTTTAGCTAGCTAGCTACATGTCTAAACAAAAGACTCCACTATGCAAGTAACCATTTCACTGTACCGTTTACACCTTCTGTATCCTGTGCATGTGACAAATAAATCTTGATTTTATTTGATATAGTGTGTGTTTAGCAGAGACGGTAATGTGAAGAACAACATGACCTGCACCAAAGCCAAATTAGGATATAACGTCAGGCCACACTCACAACCGTAAGCTATTTTCTGTAATTAGCTTGCCATTAACTTGTAAAGAATGAGCTTGTAGGTTTATTTTCCTGTAATAACGAATACAAATTAGCTTAATTTAAGAGTTTGTCAGCTTATGATGTGGTCATTATTTGAACTGGCTAGCCAGCTAACTTAACATTAGCTAGCTATCTAGCTAACAAGCTAGAAACGAACCAAAACATTGTTTAGAAAGTTGCTTTTAGTTGCCTGGTTTTCTAGATTGACATATACTAAATACATTTTTAAATGGATGGGTTTATTGGTGTTAAAATACACCAGTTATACTATTTTGGACCACCAGGCTGCTGATGTCATGCAGCCTGTCATTTTTGTGTTTCTACTTTTTCATAACGACAACGACAAGTTTGATGTCGGACGACAGTAGAATGTTCATGATGTCACTGCGCCAACTGTCTACAGACATGTCGATAGACGTACTGTAGTATAAACCAGCCTTAGTCTTGAAATCTTTGGTTGTTTACTACACTACCATACTCACTCTGTATAGCACATGTAGGTGTACCAAAAACATTCAAGGGCCATTTTCTCAAAAGTGGGGTTACAAGTTTATCAACTTTCAAAGCAGAATTACTTTTCCATTGTTCATCAACTGTAGTTGTAAAAAACACATTTCAAATGTTGCTACATAAGACCAAATCGAGCCACGTCGGTCACAAATGTGGATCAGCTTTAATATTGCAGATAGATTGTAACTTCCATCAATGTAATTGTCTGCATCACTTCCAATCCCCCATATGTTTTTTTTTCTAGCAAATATATATATATATATATATATATATATATATATATATATATATATATATATATACACATATATATATATACACATATATATATATACATACACATATACATATATATATATACACTGCCGATTTTACAGGTTTTCCTACTTACAAAGCATGTAGAGGTCTGTAATTTGTATCATAGGTACACTTCAACTGTGAGAGACGGAATCTTTAACAAAAATCCAGAAAATCACATTGTATGATTTTTAAGTAATTCATTTGCATTTTATTGCATGACATAAGTATTTGATCACCTACCAACCAGTAAGAATTCCGGCTCTCACAGACCTGTTCGTTTTTCTTTAAGAAGCCCTCCTGTTCTCCACTCATTACCTGTATTAACTGCACCTGTTTGAACTCGTTACCTGTATAAAAGACACCTGTCCACACACTCAATCAAACAGACTCCAACCTCTCCACAATGGCCAAGACCAGAGAGCTGTGTAAGGACATCAGGGATAAAATTGTAGACCTGCACAAGGCTGGGATGGGCTACAGGACAATAGGCAAGCAACTTGGTGAGAAGGCAACAACTGTTGGCGCAATTATTAGAAAATGGAAGAAGTTCAAGATGACGGTCAATCACCCTCGGTCTGGGGCTCCATGCAAGATCTCACCTTGTGGGGCATCAATGATCATGAGGAAGGTGAGGGGTCAGCCCAGAACTACACGGCAGGACCTGGTCAATGACCTGAAGAGAGCTGGGACCACAGTCTCAAAGAAAACCATTAGTAACACACTACGCCGTCATGGATTAAAATCCTGCAGCGCACGCAAGGTCCCCCTGCTCAAGCCAGCGCATGTCCAGGCCCGTCTGAAGTTTGCCAATGACCATCTGGATGATCCAGAGGAGGAATGGGAGAAGGTCATGTGGTCTGATGAGACAAAAATATAGCTTTTTGGTCTAAACTCCACTCGCCGTGTTTGGAGGAAGAAGAAGGATGAGTACAACCCCAAGAACACCATCCCAACCGTGAAGCATGGAGGTGGAAACATCATTCTTTGGGGATGCTTATCTGCAAAGGGGACAGGACGACTGCACCGTATTGAGGAGAGGATGGATGGGGCCATGTATCGCGAGATCTTGGCCAACAACCTCCTTCCCTCAGTAAGAGCATTGAAGATGGGTCGTGGTTGGGTCTTCCAGCATGACAACGACCCGAAACACACAGCCAGGGCAACTAAGGAGTGGCTCCGTAAGAAGCATCTCAAGGTCCTGGAGTGGCCTAGCCAGTCTCCAGACCTGAACCAAATAGAAAATCTTTGGAGGGAGCTGAAAGTCCGTATTGCCCAGCGACAGCCCCGAAACCTGAAGGATCTGGAGAAGGTCTGTATGGAGGAGTAGGCCAAAATCCCTGCTGCAGTGTGTGCAAACCTGGTCAAGACCTACAGGAAACGTATGATCTCTGTAATTGCAAACAAAGGTTTATGTACCAAATATTAAGTTCTGCTTTTCTGATGTATCAAATACTTATGTCATGCAATAAAATGCAAATGAATTACTTAAAAATCATACAATGTGATTTTCTGGATTTTTTTATTTATTCTGTCTCTCACAGTTGAAGTGTACCTATGATAAAAATTACAGACCTCTACATGCTTTGTAAGTAGGAAAACCTGCAAAATCGGCAGTGTATCAAATACTTGTTCTCCCCACTGTACATATCCTTTTTTAAATAATATTTCCCTTCATTACTTTCCAACCCCACCACCCCTTCCCTAATTGGAGTAAACTAGTGAACAACAATGCTTAGGCCTCTACTTCCATATTATACATACTATATACCTTTTATGGACACGGTCAAATTTTACAATAATTATATTTTGTTTGTTTTTACTCCTGAACTTCCTCTGATCATTTTCATGATGTCCATCTGGTTTGCTTCTATATGCCATATTTTTCTAACTGTGCTCTTTCACAAAAGCTCTCAACCTATAACCTATATAGTTATTATGGATACAGTGTGCTTTACATTAGTTATCTTGTTGTTATTAGTTGTTGTTAGTTGTTATTAGTCCCATCCTTCAGCTCCATTCAACACCTCCCGATCTAATGATTCTGTCTCTTCGCAGCAAAATCTGCAGAGCTGCGAAGATTGTATCCCCCATACAAATAACATTCTATTGGTAGCAAGAATTTTATATAATAATTTAAATGGAAAAATTCTAAGTTTTGAATCCGGCGTCGTTTTGTGTATCAGTTCATAAAAACTATGCCATCGAATCGGTACGTCAAAAATCTCTTCCCAACTATTTTGCAATCTATATGGGACAGCTGTCAATCCTTTGGTCCTTAAATGAAACTGGTAAAACATTTTATTTATCACAATTTTCTTTAACCAATTAAGTTCTTTAATGCAAGGCCGACAGACAAGTTCCTTACTTTTTCCCCCTTCCACTTTCCTCTTCCATTTTTGCTGTAATGCTGCAATTATTTTGTTTTAATTTTGGGTAGAGCAGATATTTCCATATGTTTTTGTTAGCTGCGTGTGTGACATAACTCCACCATTCCTACCGATAATATAATTTACAAAGATTATACCTTTTTAAACATTTTGTCAGAAAAAAATGTTTTTTTTAATCAATTAGTATATTTGAGTTTAACCACAATATTTGTTGCAATATTTGTTCTGTCGTTTCTGGAGGATTAAATTGAAATTGCAACCAACTTTCTATGGCTTGTTTTAGAAATAGTGATATTTTGGGGCTTATTTCCTTTTCAAATAACTGAAAGTGAGAGGTTGTAATCTGAATAAAGGGAAAAAGGCCATTCTTGAACATTGGGTGAGACAATCTCACTAATTTGCTAGAGAACCATTTCGGATTTAAGTATAACTTTTGTATGACTGAAGCATTTAGTGATAGGTCTAATGCTTTAATATTTAATAATTTCTGTCCTCCGAATTCATATTCATTATATAAATAGGCCTGTTTAATTTTGTGTGGCTTGCCGTTCCAAATAAAATGGAATATTTTTTTCTCATATAATTTAAAAAACTGTTCGCTAGGCGTAGGCAAGACCATAAGCAAATAGGTAAACTGGGATAATACTAAAGAGTTAATCAGGGTGATTTTTCCACAAATTGACAGGTATTTACCTTTCCATGGTAGCAAGATCTTATCTATTTTTGCTAACCTTCTATTAAAATGTATTGGAGTGAGATCATTTATTTAATTTGGGATATGTATTCCGAGTATATCCACATCGCCATCAGACAATTGTATTGGTAAACTACATGGTAATGTAACATTTTTATTTTTTTGTGATCCAATACGTAATATAGTACATTTATCATAATTTGGTTGTAATCCAGAGAGGTTAGAAAATGTATCTAGATCCTCTATGAGGCTGTGGAGGGATTCAAGTTGTGGATTTAAAAGAAAACATGAATCATCAGCGTACAATGACACCTTTGTTTTTAAGCCCTGGATTTCTAATCCCTTGATATTATTGTTGGATCTGATTTTAATAGCTAACATTTCGGTGGCCATAATAAATAGATATGCCGATAGTGGACAATCTTGTTTCACTCCTCTTGACAGTTTAAAACTTTCTGAGAAATAGCCATTATTAACTATTTTACACCTAGGGTTACTATACATGATTTTAACCCAATTTATAAGAGATTGTCCAAAACTGAAATGCTCCAGGCATTTATATATAAACCCCAGTCGTACTTTATCAAATGCCTTTCGAAGTCTGCTATGAATAGCAGGACTGGTTTCACAGATTTTTCATAGTGTTCTATTGTTTACAGTACTTGCCTTATATTATATCCAATGTATCGCCCATGTAAAAAACCTGTCTGATTAGAATTAATAATGTCCGACAATACCTTTTTAATTCTATGCGCTATACATTTTGCAACACTGAAGTGTAAGGGGCCTCCAATTTTATTAATGGACTGGATCTTTATATTTTCCACTAGTATCCTGTTTCAGTAATAATGAAATCAGACCTTCTTCGTGAGTGTCTGATAATCTACCATTTACATAGGAGTGGTTAAAACATGCTAATAACGGTCCTCCGAGTATATCAAAAAAGGTTTGGTATACCTCGACTGGTATGCCATCCAACCCTGGAGTTTTCCCGGACTTAAAGTCTTTAATTGCATCCAGAAGTTCCTCCTCTGTAATTTCACCTTCACATTAGTCTTTCTGTATAGCTGTTAATTTTACATTATCAATAGAAAAAAAATCTCTACAATTTGCTTCAGTTAGAGGAGATGGCGGTGACTGAAACGAAAACATATGCTTAAAGTACTTTGTTTCCTCCTTCAAAATATAATTTGGTGAATCATGGGTGACTCCGTCATTTGTACCCAGTTTCAGTAAATTATTTTTGGTAGCATTCCTATGTTGAAGATTAAAAAATAATTTGGTGCATTTTTCCCCATATTCCATCCAGTTTGCTTTATTCTTTATAATATATTACATTTGAAGTTTCTTGAATAAGTTTCTCCATTTCTTTTTGTTTTTCCTCTAATTTATTCTGAGCCTCTATGTTACAGTTTTTATTGCTATCTATCTGTTCTGTTAGACCTTCTATTTCCTTTGTTAGTGTGGACTCTTTTGTCCTAAATTGCTTTTATTTTCGAGATGAGTACTGAATTGCATGGCCTCTAAAGGCACATTTAAAGGTGTCCCATACAATAAGGGGATTTGCTGTACCTACAGTTGAAGTCGGAAGTTTACATACACCTTAGCCAAATACATTTATTATTATTATTACATTTAAACTCAGTTTTTCACCATTCCTGACATTTAATCATAGTAAAAATTCCCTGTCTTAGGTCAGTTAGGATCACCACTTTATTTTAAGAATGTGAAATTTCAGAATAATAGTAGAGAGAATGATTTATTTCAGCTTTTATTTATTTCATCACATTCCCAGTGGGTCAGAAGTTTACATACACTCAATTAGTACTTGGTAGTATTGCCTTTAAATTGTTTAACTTGGGACAAACATTTCAGGTAGCCTTCCACAAGCCTCCCACAATAAGTTGGGTGAATTTTGGCCCATTCCTCCTGACAGAGCTGGTGTAACTGAATCAGGTTTGTAGGCCTCCTTGCTCGCACACACTTTTTCAGTTCTGCTCACACATTTTCTATAGGATTGAGGTCAGAGCTTTGTGATGGCCACGCCAATACCTTGACTTTGTTGTCCTTAAGCCATTTTGCCACAACTTTGGAAGTATACTTGGGGTCATTGTCCATTTGGAAGACCCATTTGCGACCAAGCTTTAACTTCCTGACTGTTGTCTTGAGATGTTGCTTCAATATATCCACATAATTTTCCTTCCTCATGATGCCATCTATTTTGTGAAGTGCACCAGCCCCTCCTGCAGCAAAGCACCCCCACAGCATGATGCTGCCACCCCCGTGCTTCACGGTTGGGATGGTGTTCTTCGGCTTGCAAGCTTCCCCCTTTTTCCTCCAAACATAACGATGGTCATTATGGCCAAACAGTTCTATTTTTGTTTCATCAGACCAGAGGACATTTCGCCAAACCGTAGTCTGGCTTTTTTATGGTGGTTTTGGAGCAGTGGCTTCTTCCTTGATGAGCGGCCTTTCAGGTTATGTCGATATAGGACTCGTTTTAATGTGGATATAGATACTTTTGTATATGTTTCCTCCAGCATCTTCACAAGGTCCTTTGCTGTTGTTCTGGGATTGATTTGCACTTTTCGAACCAAAGAACGTTCATCTCTAGGAGACAGAACGCGTCTCCTTCCTGAGCGGTATGACAGCTACGTTGTCCCATGGTGTTTATACTTGCGTACTATTATTTGTACAGATGAACGTGGTACCTTCAGGCGTTTGGAAATCGCTCCCAAGGATGAACCAGACTTGTGGAGGTCTACAATCTTTTTTCTGAGGTCTTGACAGATTTCTTTTGATTTTCCCATGATGTCAATCAAAGAGGCAGTGAGTTTGAAGGTAGGCCTTGAAATACATCCACAGGTACACCTCCAATTGACTCAAATTATGTCAATTAGCCTATCAGAAGCTTCTAAAGCCATGACATCATTTTCTGGAATTTTACAAGCTGTTTAAAGGCACAGTCAACTTAATGTATGTAAACTTCTGACCCACTGGAATTGTGATACAGTGAATTATAAGTGAAATAATCTGTCTTTAAACAATTGTTGGAAAAATTACTTGTGTCATGCACAAAGTAGATGTCCTAACCGGCTTGCCAAAGCTATAGTTTGTTAACAAGAAATTTGTGGAGTGGTTGAAAAATGAGTTTTAATGACTCCAACCTAAGTGTATGTAAACTTCCGACTTCAACTGTATGTAAAATCAGTTATAAATTCCTCTGTCCTAGTTAAAAACAAGTTATCATCCAATAGGCTTTGATTTAATTTCCAATATCCTCGCCCACGTGGAAATTCAGTAAGAGTAATGTATATGCCAATTATATGATGGTCCGACCGCATTCTGTCCCCTATCAACACTTTTTAAACTTTTGGTGCCAACGAGAATGACATAAGAAAGAAGTCAAGACGACTAGCTTGATTGAGTCTCCGCCATGTATATCTCACTAGGTCAGGATATTTAAGCCTCCATATATCTACTAGTTCTAATCTATCCATGACATTCACGATTTCCTTAAGAGCATGAGGGTGATTGTTTGTAGTGTGATTTCCTTTACTGTCCACTGAGCTATTTAAAACAGTATTATAATCTCCCACTATAATAATAGAGTCTTGAATTGCTTGCAGTGTTGATCATTTATTATATATATGTCAAAGAAGTGTGGATCATCATTATTTGGTCCGTAAAGGTAAATGAGCCATATCTGTTTATGGTCCAATAACATATTTAAAATAATCCATCTACCTTGCGTATCTGTTTGGACAATTTTCACATTTGGATCGAAATTACTGTTAATTAATATCATCACCCCTTTTGAGTTTCTTTGTCCATGGGAGAAGTATATTTCGCCCCCCCCCCCCCCCCCCCCCCCCATTCCTTTTTCCACGCAACTTCATCTAGAATTGTTGAATGGGTTTCCTGTAAACAATAGATATTATATTCTTTCTCTTTGAGCCATGTAAATATTGTTATTCTTTTGTTATTATCTGCTAAGCCATTACAATTATAACTGGCTATACTTATTTCATCACATACCATAATGGGATACAAGTTTCAAATCTATTTATCATTCATCAAATTTTGCTACATAAGACCAAATCGAGCCACGTCGGTCACAAATGTGGAAAAACTCAAGGGGTGTGAATACTTTCTGAAATCCCACGTACCAAATATCCCTCTTACTGGTTCCAGTGTCTGACTGGTTGCCTAAAGGGATGTTTGCATGGACTCTTCTTACCCCCTTGATCCATTTAGAGATGTAGGTCAGTTAGCAGTGCGATTATTTTGTAGCGGTTAGCGTCGGTTAGCATGCTACTGTAAAGCACATGGTTTATTAGCAGTTAGCGCCAGTAAGCTATCTACAGTAAAACCCATTGTATTTAATGGTTAGCATACTACTGTAAAGCACCATGTTAGAGGTTAGCTTGGTGCATGCTACTGTAAAGCAGCACCATGGAGATTGGTGATTACTCCTGCTATACCCTCATTGTCTGTAGCATTATCACAGGCTGCTGGTAATGAGCCCATAGTAGGATCAAATGCTTGGCTTGTGGACATCATCTAGAATCTGTTGTATCGGATAATCTGAATGAGGCAATTTAATCGTTGTATAATGTACAGTATTATAGGCTTACCTAGTTTCTTATGGCTCAGGATGGTATGTTCCCATTGAAAGGCGGTCCAAAGGCATTCAATGGCAGTCCACTCTTTGATGGTATGCACAACCAAATATAATCAATTAAGTAATTTTACTTACACTTTATGTGCAAATCGTACAGAGTGTGGTTTTAAAACATCAGCACAGCTATGTTGACCTTATTGACCTCTATACAGGACAGGTTTGACAGTATATCCAGCCAGTCAGTACAGTATGACATCATGTTAACTCTGTGGGAGAGATTGATCTTTGAAAGGCTGTCTATAAAGGACATTGTCACTCTTCTTTATCTCTTCAGAATATATTTATAGTGTCACACTCCCATTTATCTGACAAGCCTTGATTAGTGACAGTACAAATGTCACTTAATATGTGACATTAAATTAAAAATGTAGGTCGGAGCTTCAACCCCTGTGTAAAGCATTCTGTAAGGCTATTAGATGGTTGAAATCAAGTTGACCTCACCCGTTTGGTAGATTGGATTACTGCCTCGGAGGACATTTTTGAAGGGACATAGTAAGAGTGTGGTCATGTGTGAAATGTATACGTTTTTGACAACTTACATCCCATGGCGCCTGGGAAGGGCTGTGAGCCATGCCCTTGACCTGAGTGGGAGAAAGTTTCCCTCCACACATACACACCACCACCACCACCACCCCGACCACGGCCACAGTATAGTCACTGTTTTAATGAAAGCTCTGGGGATACAGTGAATCATCACATAATGGGCCGGACCATTCCAAATGTTAAGGTCAATCAGCAGCAAGACTGAAACACAATCGCCATGGGGGGGGATTTCACTTCAGATTTACTGGGATTTCATTTTACACACAGAAGAGCAAATCATTGGGCTTAACTGTTTTTAATCAGGTTCTTTCTGCATGGGGAGATATAGTGAAGGAGGTGGTGATGGTATTCATCATAGTTTGTTATCCTGCAGGAAGGAACGAATGTGTCGTAAAGCAGCGGTTCATCAACCATGACGATGATATATCACCGCTATCGTTAAACACACCCAGCGGAAGTCAATACAAAATTAGATAGGATAAAAAAATCTCTGATTTAAAATGTCAAACTATCATAGTACATATTCTGCCTTTGGAACAGTGCATCATTTTTTTACTTGACGTCAACTCATGTAATGTAGAGATGGCATAAACTAACGCAGAGCGAGATAGAGAAAGAGAACAAATCAAATGTTGTATATCTCTTTCTACCCCCCGGAGAAGAAAATGAATGAAAATGGGTCAGGGTGCATGCAGCCTTTGAGTCCATAGAGAGAGAGAGAGATACAAATGTGTAATGTGCCCTCAGAGCGTAGAGTTTGCACTAATGAAAAATAAAATTACTCGTCCGCCACTCTGACATGAGGGATTCGTTATAAAGCGTGCGGCTTCACATCAGAGGACTACAACAAGGGAAAACAAAACTCTTAATCATGTTTCCTCTCCTCTACTTTTCTAGACATGTAACGACAATGGGCATTTGTTTTCTCTCCTTTCGTTTTAAGTGCCATTCAATTGCCTTTTAAGTTCATTTGCATCATGTTTAAGTTCATGTTGCAGTCACTTTTAAGTTACTTGCGACAATTTTGAGTCCCACTGTTACCATGTCGTGTCATATCAGAATGATAAAAAAATTATGAGGAGTGACAGGGCCTGTCTAGTCTCCCTCTATCATCTGTGTCCCAGCTGGGTTAGGGGAGGCGCCGCTCCAGGCACTTTTTCTCTGCTTGACTCAGGCTTCCTAATTTAGCACTGAGACAGGGGCAGCTGTGTACTCTGTCTGTCTCACTCTCTCTCTGTCTGTCTCTCACTCCCACACCCACACCCCTCTTTTTCTTTCGTTCTGTCTGTCTCTCTCTTTCTCTTCCACCCCTACACTCCGCTCTCTCAGTCTGTGACTATCTGTCTCTCCCTCTCAGGTAGAGCAGGGGGCAAAGAGGTGACAGTTAGTTAGAAAACACATCCACCAACAGCCCTACCAACCGGGGATATACTGTACTTTAGATGAGAAACCACTTACTTGAATATAGAACCCAGCTCTATACAGCCCTATTCATACTGAGGACACATCTACAGTGCCTTCGGAAAGTATCCAGACCCCTTGACTTTTTCCACATTTTGTTACGTTACAGCCTTATTCTAAAATCGACTAACCTCTTAAGGATCGGACCCTTTTTTTCAATTTTCGCCTAAAATGACATATCCAAATCTAACTGCCTGTAGCTCAGGACCAGAAGCAATGATATGCATATTCTTGATACCATTTGAAAGGAAACACTTTGTGGAAATTAATGTAGGAAATTAATGTAGGAGAATATAGCACATTAGATCTGGTAAAAGATAATACAATTTAAAAAACATGCGTTCTCAATTTTTTGTTTGAAATGCAAGAGAAAGGCCACAATATAATATTGCAGTTTAGACATAATTTAGATTTTGGCCACTAGATGGAAGCAGTGTGTGTGCAAAGTTTCAGAATGATCCAGTGAAGCATTGCAATACTGGACTATTTTGTATCAAGTCTGCCCAAATGTGCCGAATTGGTCAATTGATACATAACTATAACTATAGAGAAGGCAGGGGTTCAAACTGTAAAACTCAGTTCCTACATTTGAATATAAAAATTGATTTTATCAAACAAAACTATGCTACATTTTATCTCTGGGACCCTTAGGATGATAAATCAAAGGTGAATGTATCAAACCAGTTGCCGTGATACGTTTTTTGTTGTTGAGCACTCTCCTCAAACAATAGCATGGTATTTCTTCACTGTAATAACTACTGTAAATTGGACAGTGCAGTTAGATGAACAAGAATTTAAGCTTTCTACCCATATAAGACATGTATATGTCCTGGAAGGTTTGCTGTTACTTACAACAGTCATGCTAATCACATTAGTGTACGTTAGCTCAACCGTCCCGTATACGGGACACCGATATATAAATAAAACATTTTCCTCATCAATCTACACACAATACCCCATAACGACAAAACGAAAACAGGATTTTATAAATATTTGCAAATGTATAAAAAATAAATAACAGAAATACCTTATTTACATAATTATTCAGACCCTTTGCTATGAGACTCGAAATTGAGCTCACGTGCATCCTGTTTCCATTGATCATCCTTGAGATGTTTCTACAACTTGATTGGAGTCCACCTGTGGTAAATTCAATTGATTGGACATGATTTGGAAAGGCACACACCTGTCTATATTAGGTCCCACAGTTGACAGTGCATGTCAGAGCAAAAAAAAGCCATGAGATCGAAGGAATTGTCCGTAGAGCTCAGAGACAAGATTGTGTCGAGGCACAGATCTGGGGAAGGGTACCAAAACATTTCTACAGCATTGAAGGTCCCCAGGAACACAGTGGCCTCCATCATTCTTACATTTTAGTCATTTAGCAGACGCTCTTATCCAGAGCGACTTACAGTTAGTGAGTGCATACATTTTCATACTGGCCCCCCGTGGGAAACGAACCCACAACCCTAGCGTTGCAAGCGCCATGCTCTACCAACTGAGCTACAGGGGACTATATTCTTAAATGGAAGAAGTTTGGAATCACCAAGACTCTTTCTAGATCTGGCCACACGGCCAAACTGAGCAATCGGGGTAGAAGGGCCTTGGTCAGGGAGGTGACCAAGAACCCGATGGTCACTCTGACAGAGCTCTAGAGTTCCTCTGTGGAGACGGGAGAACCTTCCAGAAGGACAACCATCTCTACAGCATTCCAACAATAGGCCTTTATGGTAGAGTGGCCAGTTGGAAGCCACTCCTCATTAAAAGGCACATGACAGCCCGCTTGGAGTTTGCCAAAAGACACCTAAAGACTCTCAGACCATGTGAAACAAGATTCTCTGGTCTGAAAAAAACAAGATTGAACTCTTTGGCCCGAATGCCAAGCGTCACGTCTGGAGGAAACCTGGCACCATCCCTACGGTGAAGCATGGTGGTGGCAGAATCATGCTGTGGGGATGTTTTTCAGTGGCAGGGACTGGGAGTCAGGATCGAGGCAAAGATGAACTGAGCAAAGTACAGAGAGATCCTTGATGAAAACCTGCTCCAGAGTGCTCAGGACCTCAGATTGGGGCGAAGGTCCACCTTTCAACAGGACAACGACCTTGAGCACACAGCCAAGACAACGCAGGAGTGGCTTCGGGACAAGTCTCTAAATGTCCTTGATTGGCGCAGCCAGAACCCGGACTTGAACCCAATAGAACATCTCTGGAGAGACCTGAAAATAGCTGTGCAGCAACACTCCCCATCCAACCTGACAGAGCTTTTGAGGATCTGCAGAGAGAAATGGGAGAAACTCCCCAAATACAGGTGTGCCAAGCTTGCAGCGTCATACCCAAGAAGACTCGAGGCAGTAATCGCTGCCAAAGGTGCTTCAAAAAAGTACTGAGTAAAGGGTCTGAATACTTATGTAAATGTGATTAGTTTTATTTTATACATTTGCTAACATTTCTAAAAACCTGCTTTTGTGTTGTCATTATGGGGTATTGTGTGTAGATTGATGAGGGAAAAAAACGATGTATTCAATTTTAGAATAAGGCTGTAACATAACAAAATGTGGAAAAAGTCAAGGGGTCTGAATACTTTCTGAATGCACTGTATACTGTAGCATGCATTGATGCACTCTGTTGTTGCTGAATTAATATAGTATTGACATTCTCAAGATGTCTATGGTATTATATGTTGTCTGTGGTCCCATTTACTCTGTTTAAGATATGACGCCAATGACATTACTTATGAGTACAATGAAGATTAAGCACTGATTTAGCTATGTGCAGTCTATGGCTATGTAAGTACTGCATGTGAGGATATCTACTTGTTTGTAAATAAATATAAATATATGTTAATTGTATGTTTATTGCCGTCTTTTTTCCCTCATTGAAAGCATCTACTTGTCTAGAAAATGTGAGAGAATAACAGTGAAGTTCATTGAACCATCCCCACCTTCTTCTTCCCTCTCTCCAGAGTTACATCACATGCACGGTGAAAGCCAAAGGGACGCGGCTAGCCAAGCCTGTGCTGTCCCTGGGTCTGATGTGTCTGGCCTTCCTCACGGGACTCAACAGAGTGGCTGAGTATCGGAACCACTGGTCTGATGTCATCGCTGGCTTCATCATAGGAGTGGCCATCGCTACCTTTCTGGTAAGAACCTGTTCTGCAGCAGCATCAAAATCGTCACAATGTACAGTGTGCATATTAGAACAGTATCAACACCAACTTCTTGTGACCTGTGAGGCTGTCCTAATTTGGACACCATACCACTGGGTTGTAGAACCAGGATCAGCATCAGTATGGTTGTGTCCAACATGGCACCCTATTCCCTATAAGTGCACTACTTTAAACCATGGTATGCTCTGGTCAAAAGTAGTGCACTATAAAGGGAATAGGGTGCCATTCATGATGCATTCCATCACCCCTCTGAGTTCATCATTAGCACTTAAACTGTCTAGGCCTAATGGGCTTGTACTGAGACATAAACCAAGAGCGATAATTGGCCAACGCTTATAATGGTTGCTAACCCATACCCTACCTGTAACAGCACTCACTTAAGGTGCCTGGAAATATGCCTGAATGAAAATCCTTCACTGAGAAACAGACATGCACACACACTACTTAAATTGAGCTGTCACTTTAATAATGTTTACATTTACATTTTAGTCATTTAGCAGACACTCTTATCCAGAGCGACTTACAGTTAGTGAGTGCATACATTTTCATACTGGCCCCCTGTGGGAAACGAACCCACAACCCTGGCGTTGCAAGCGCCATGCTCTACCAACTGAGCTACAGGGGACTTTTACCCAGTTCATATGTATATACTGTTTTCTAGTCAAGGCCATCCTATTAAACTATTTCTGTGTATATACTATCCAAGTATTCTTCAGATATACTACATATATCTGTGTATGTGACCAATACAATTTTATTTGATATTCTATCCATATACTGTCCATGTCTACACATCCCATCACACAAAACCGCATGCACACGCACGCACGTGCACACACACACCCATATATATATATATATATATATATATATATATATATATATATATATATATATATATATATATATATACAGTACCAGTCAACAGTTTGGACACACCTACTCATTCCAGGGATTTTCTTTGTTTTTACTATTTTCTACATTGTACAATAAAACGATGAAATAACACGTGGAATCATGTAGGAACCAAAAAAGTGTTTAACAAATCAAAATATATTTTATATTTGTGTCACGAGTGCTGTAGGTGGGTGTAGTGGTGGAATCAAACGCAGGACACCGAAGTATAGTCCAACAGACTTTAGTAAATCTCCAACAAGGAAAATACGACATGACTTGCCCGAAGGCGAAATTACGCACGAAGGCGAACAAACAAAAGCGCACTAAACAGGTGCGTAAACACTCCAACGCAGTGGAGGGAAGCTCAACCGAGCGAAGTAGCTAAATAAGCCCAACACACGACAGACCAAAATCAAACGAACATGAAACATACAACGGTGGCAGCTAGTATTCCGGAGACAACGAACGCCGAAGCCTGCCCGAACAAGGAAGAGAGGCAGCCTCGGCCGAAACCATGACAGTACCCCCCCCTTGACGCGCGGCTCCAGACGTGCGCCGACTCCGGCCTCGGGGACGACCCGGAGGACGCGGAGCAGGGTGCGTCGGGTGCCCACGATGGAATTCCGTCAGGAGAGACGGGTCCAAAATGTCTCTCCTCGGCACCCAGCACCGCTCCTCCGGACCGTACCCCTCCCACTCCACTAGATATTGGAGACCCCCCATCCGACGTCTCGAATCCAAGATGGACCTCACGGAGTACGCCGGTGCCCCCTCGATGTCCAATGGGGGCGGAGGAGTCTCCCTGATCTCACTTTCTTGGAGTGGGCCAGCTACCACCGGCCTGAGAAGGGACACATGGAACGAGGGGTTAATACTTTTATATTCAACAGGTAGTTGTAATTTGTAACATACCTCGTTCAACCTTCCCAGGACTTTAAATGGCCCTACAAACCGCCGACCCAGTTTCCGACAGGGCAGGCGGAGGGGCAGGTTTCTTGTAGAGAGCCAGACTCGATCACCAGGTGCGTACACCGGTCCCTCACTGCGGTGGAGATCGGCGCTCGCCTTATGACGTCGGAGGGCCCGCTGCAGGTGGACGTGTGCAGCGTTCCATGTCTCCTCCGAGCGCCGCGCCCACTCATCCACCGCAGGAGCCTCGATCTGGCTCTGCTGCCAAGGTGCCAGAACCGGCTGGTAACCTAACACACATTGGAAAGGGGTTAGGTTAGTGGAGGAATGGCGTAGGGAATTCTGGGCCATTTCGGCCCAGGGAACGTACCTTGCCCACTCCTCCGGCCGGTCCTGGCAGTATGTTCTAAGAAACCTACCCACATCCTGGTTCACACGTTCCACCTGCCCATTACTCTCCGGGTGGTAACCAGAGGTGAGGCTCACCGAGACCCCCAACCGCTCCATAAAAGCTCTCCAGACTCTGGAGGTAAATTGGGGACCTCGATCAGACACAATATCCTCGGGTACCCCGTAGTGCCGGAACACATGGGTGAATAGGGCTTCGGCAGTTTGCAGGGCGGTAGGAAGGCCCTGCATGGGGAGCAAACGACAGGCCTTAGAAAACCGGTCCACAACGACCAGTATAGTGGTATTCCCCTGTGAAGGAGGAAGGTCAGTAAGGAAATCCACCGAGAGGTGGGACCATGGTCGTTGTGGAACGGGCAGGGGTAGTAACTTACCCCTAGGCAGATGTCTAGGCGCCTTACACTGGGCGCACACCGAGCAGGAGGAAACATAAACCCTCACATCCCTTGCCAACGTGGGCCACCAGTACTTGGCACTAAGACAGTGCACTGTCCGGCCGATACCCGGGTGTCCAGAGGAGGGTGACGTGTGAGCCCAATAGATCAATCGATCCCGAACCTTGAGCGGAACGTACTTCCGACCCTCCGGGCATTGCGGTGGACTAGGGTCGGTGCGTAACGCCCGCTCGAGCTCAGCATCGACCTCCCACACTACCGGTGCCACCAGACACGACTCCGGCAGTATGGGAGTGGGCTCCACGGACCTCTCCTCCGTGTCATACCGCCGAGACAGCGCATCTGCCTTACCGTTCTGTGACCCAGGGATGTACGTGATCTTAAATGTAAACCGGGTCAAAAACATATTCCATCTTGCCTGCCGAGGGTTTAGCCTCCTCGCTGCCCGGATGTACTCCAGGTTACGGTGGTCCGTCAAAATGAGGAAAGGGTGTTGAGCCCCCTCGAGCCAGTGCCTCCACACCTTTAGGGCCTGTACCACGGCTAACAGCTCCCTGTCCCCTACGTCATAGTTTCGCTCCGCCGGACTGAGCTTCTTGGAATAAAAGGCACAGGGGCGGAGTTTAGGTGGCGCGCCTGACCGTTGTGAAAGCACGGCTTCTATACCGGCCTCAGACGCGTCCACCTCTACCTGAAATGGTAAAGAGGGATCCGGATGCGCCAGCACCGGAGCCGAGGTAAACAGGTCCTTCAGCATCCCAAACGCCCTGTCCGCCTCGGCAGACCACTGCAGACGCACTGGACCCCCCTTCAAAAGAGACGTGATGGGAGCTGCCACCTGTCCAAAACCCCGGATAAACCTCCGGTAGTAATTCGCAAACCCCAAAAACTGCTGCACCTCCTTCACAGTGGTTGGTGTTTGCCAATTACGCACGGCTGACACCCGGTCTACCTCCATCTTTACCCCTGACGCAGACAACTGATACCCCAAAAAGGAGACAGACTCCTGGAAAAACAGACACTTCTCTGCCTTAACATACAGGTCGTGCTCCACCAGCCTCCGCAACACTCTGCGCACCAGGGCCACATGCTCGACACGGGTAGGCGAGTACACGAGAATGTCATCTATGTACACAACGACCCCCTGCCCCTGCATGTCCCTGAAGATCTCATCCACGAATGATTGGAAAACTGATGGAGCGTTCATCAACCCGTATGGCATGACAAGATACTCGTAATGGCCCGAGGTGGTACTAAAGGCAGTCTTCCATTCATCACCCTCCCTGATGCGCACCAAGTTGTACGCGCTCCTGAGATCTAATTTAGTGAAGAAACGCGCCCCATGCAAGGACTCAGTCATGGTCGCAATCAGCGGGAGTGGATAACTGTACTTCACCGTGATCTGATTGAGACCACGGTAATCGATGCACGGGCGTAAACCACCATCCTTCTTCTTCACAAAAAAGAAACTCGAGGACGCAGGGGAAGTGGAAGGCCGTATGTATCCTTGTCTCAGAGATTCGTCTATGTAAGTCTCCATAGCTTTCTTCTCCTCCTGAGACAGAGGATACACATGGCTCCGTGGGAGCGCAGCTCCTGCCTGGAGGTCTATCGCACAATCTCCCTGCCTATGGGGTGGCAACCGCGTCGCCCTCGACTTACTAAACGCGATAGCCAAATCCCCATACTCAGGGGGAACATGCAATGCGGGCACCTGGTTTGGACTCTCCACCGAGGTAGCCCCTACGGAAACGCCCAAACATCGACCCACACACTGGGCAGACCACTCCATCAGAGCCCTCTCCTGCCACGAAATAGATGGGTTATGGGTACTCAACCAGGGCATGCCCAGCACCACCGGATACGCAGGCGAGTCAATCAGAAATAGCTGAATCATCTCCTGATGACCCCCCTGCGCACACATCCTAAGTGGCGCAGTGACTTCCCTGATCAAGCCCGCACCCAACGGACGGCTATCTAGGGCATGAACGGGGAAAGGGACATCAACAGGAAGAAGGGGAATCCCTAAGGCTAAACAAAACTTCTTATCAACAAAATTCCCAGCCGCGCCTGAATCTACCAGCGCCTTATGCTGGGAATGAGGTGCTACCTGTGGAAAACTCACAGGTATACAGAAATGTGCAACAGAGAGCTCTGGGTGAGTGGGGCGCCTACTCACCTGGAAGGAATCCCCAGTGCGGGACCTGTCGTCCTCTCCCCTAGGAGGCCATCCCCAGCACCTAGCCGTGGTGTGTCCTCCCCGACCACAGTTGGTGCAGGAGATGGACCCCCTAGTAAGCCGACCCCTCCTCTCTCTAGCGCCAGCGCCCCCGAGCTCCATGGGGCACGGCTCGGAGGCGCTGGAGGGTGAAATGGACGGACCCCCCTCGGGACGTCCGCGGGTAGCTAGCAGGTTATCCAGCCTGATGGACATGTCGACCAACTGGTCGAACGAGAGGCTGGTGTCCCTACAGGCCAGCTCCCGACGGACGTCCTCTCGTAGACTACATCTGTAGTGATCGACGAGAGCCCGATCATTCCACCCTGCATCTGCCGCTAGAGTACGGAATTCGAGGGCGAACTCCTGGGCACTCCTCCTCCCCTGCCGGAGGAAGATCAGACGCTCCCCCGCCGCTTTCCCCTCCGGGGGATGGTCAAACACCGCCCTGAAGCGGCGGGAGATCTCGTCGTATGTGATGGTGTCCGCGTCGATCCTCCTCCACTCCGCGTTGGCCCATTCCAACGCCTTCCCGGAAAGGCAGGAGATCAGGGCGGACACGCTCTCATGTCCCGAGGGCGCCGGGTGCACGGTGGCCAGGTACAGCTCCACCTGGAGAAGGAATCCCTGACACCCGGCCGCGGTCCCATCGTAGGCCCTCGGGAGCGAGAGTCGGACTCCTCGGGGTTCCGGTGCGGGAATGGGCTGACTGGCCGATGGTGCTGGCAGGGTGGGTGGCGGTGGAGGCGTCCCCCAGCCTCGGATGGTGGTGATCACCTCCTGCAGTGCGGTCCCCATCTGCAGGATCTGGTCCCTTTGTTCCCGGACCTTGTCCTCCAGCGTCGCCTGGGCTGCTGCGGCTCCTGCTGATTCCATTCTTTAAGGTGTGTTATTCTGTCACGAGTGCTGTAGGTGGGTGTAGTGGTGGAATCAAACGCAGGACACCGAAGTATAGTCCAACAGACTTTAGTAAATCTCCAACAAGGAAAATACGACACGACTTGCCCGAAGGCGAAATTACGCACGAAGGCGAACAAACAAAAGCGCACTAAACAGGTGCGTAAACACTCCAACGCAGTGGAGGGAAGCTCAACCGAGCGAAGTAGCTAAATAAGCCCAACACACGACAGACCAAAATCAAACGAACATGAAACATACAACGGTGGCAGCTAGTATTCCGGAGACAACGAACGCCGAAGCCTGCCCGAACAAGGAAGAGAGGCAGCCTCGGCCGAAACCGTGACAATTTGAGATTCTTCAAATAGCCACCCTTTGCCTTGATGACAGCTTTGCACACTCTTGGCATTCTCTCAACCAGCTTCACCTGGAATGCTTTTCCAACAGTCTTGAAGGAGTTCCCACATATGCTGAGCACTTGTTGGCTGCTTTTCCTTCCGACTCATCCCAAACCATCTCAATTGGGTTGAGGTCGGGGGATTGTGGAGGCCAGGTCATGTGATGCAGCACTCCATCACTCTCCTTCTTGGTAAAATAGCCCTTACACAGCCTGGAGGTGTGTTGGATCATTGTCCTGTTGAAAAACAAATGATAGTCCCACTAAGCCCAAACCAGATGGGAAGTCATATCGCTGCAGAATGCTGTGGTAGCCACGCTGGTTAAGTGTGCCTTGAATTCTAAATAAATCACAGACAGTGTCACCAGAAAAGCACCCCCACACCAAAACACCTCCTGCTCCATGCTTTACGGTGGGAACTACACATGCGGAGATCATCCGTTCAACCAAAAATCTCCAATTTGGACTCCAGACCAAAGGACACATTTCCACCGGTCTAATGTCCATTGCTCATGTTTCTTGGCCCAAGCAGGTCTCTTCTTCTTATTGGTGTCCTTTAGTAGTGGTTTCTTTGCAGCAATTCGACCATGTGATTCACACAGTCCCCTCTGAACAGTTGATGTTGAGATGTCTCTGTGACTTGAACTCTGTGAAGTATTTATTTGGGCTGCAATTTCTGAGGCTGTTAACTCTAATGAACTTATCCTCTGCAGCAGAGGTAACTCTGGGTCTTCCATTCCTGTGGTGGTCCTCATGAGATCCAGTTTCATCGTAGCGCTTGAATGGATTTTTGCGACTGCACTTGAAGAAACTTTCAAAGTTCTTGAAATGTTCCGTATTGACTGACCTTCATGTCTTAAAATAATGATGGACTGTCATTTCTCTTTGCTCATTTGAGCTGTTCTTGACATTATATGGACTTGGTCTTTTACCAAAAGGGATATATTTTGTATACAGTGAGGGAACAAAGTATTTGATCCCCTGCTGATTTTGTACGTTTGCCCACTGACAACGAAATGATCAGTCTAAAATGTTAATGGTAGGTTTATTTGAACAGTGAGAGACAGAATAACAACAAAATAATTCAGAAAACGCATGTCAAAAATGTTATAAATTGATTTGCATTTTAATGAGGGAAATAAGTATTTGACCCCCTCTCAATCAGAAAGATTTCTGGCTCCCAGGTGTCTTTTATACAGGTAACGAGCTGAGATTAGGAGCACACTCTTAAAGGGAGTGCTCCTAATCTCAGTTTGTTACTTGTATAAAAGACACCTGTCCACAGAAGCAATCAATCAATCAGATTCCAAACTCTCCACCATGGCCAAGACCAAAGAGCTCTCCAAGGATGTCAGGGACAAGATTGTAGACCTACACAAGGCTGGAATGGGCTACAAGACCATCGCCAAGCAGCTTGGTGAGAAGGTGACAACAGTTGGTGCGATTATTCGCAAATGGAAGAAACACAAAATAACTGTCAATCTCCCTCGGCCTTACAAATTAGCTTTTAAGAACGCACACCTGTTAATTGAAATGCATTCTAAGTGACTACCTCATGAAGCTGGTTCAGAGAATGCCAAGAGTGTGCAAAGCTGTCATCAAGGCAAAGGGTGATTCCATATGTGTTATTTCATAGTTTTGACATCTTCACTATTATTCTACAATGTAAAGAATAGTAAAAATAAAGAAAAACCCAGGAATGAGTGTATATACAGTACCAGTCAAAAGTTTGGGCACACCTACTATGAAATAACACATATGGAATCATGTAGTAATCCAAAAAGTGTTAAACAAATCAAAATATATTTTCTATTTTAGATTCTTCAAAGTAGCTACTCCACTTCGCATCTGTGTACATGTCTCTGTGTATGCTACTGGCTTGTGTATGTTGACACTCATGTTAATGTACAGTGCTTTCAGAAAGTATTCATACCCCTTGACTTTTTCCACATTTTGTTACGTTACAGCCTTATTCTGAAATTGATTATTGTTTTTCTTTTTCTCCTCAATCTACACACAATACCCCACAATGACAAAGCAAAAACAGGTTTTTAGAAATTTCAGCAAAGTTATTAAAAATAAAAACGGAAATATCAAATGTACATATAAAATTTACTCAGTACTTTGTTGAAGCACCTCTGGCAGCGATTACAGCCTCGAGTCTTATAATAATATAATAATAATATGCCATTTAGCAGACGCTTTTATCCAAAGCGACTTACAGTCATGCGTGCATACATTTTTTTTGTGTATGGGTGGTCCCGGGGATCGAACCCACTACCTTGGCGTTACAAGCGCCGTGCTCAACCAGTCTTCTTGGGTATGACGCTACAAGCTTGGCACACATGTATTTCTCCCATTCTTCTCTGCACATCCTCTCAAGCTACGTCAGGTTGGATGGGAGCGTCGCTGCACAGCTATTTTCAGGTCTCTCCAGAGATGTTTGATCGAGTTCAAGTCCGGGCTCTGGCTGGACCACTCAAGGACATTCACTTGTCCCAAAGCCACTCCTGCATTGTCTTGACTGTGTGCTTAGTGTCGTTGTCCTGTTGGAAGGTGAACCTTCGCCCCAGTCTGAGGTCCTGAGCACTCTGGAGCAGGTTTTCATCAAGGATCTCTCTGTACTTTGCTCAGTTCATCTTTCCCTCGATCCTGACTAGTCTCCTAGTCCCTGCCGCTAAAAGATATCCCCACAGCATGATGCTGCCACCACCATGCTTCACCGTAGGGATGGTGCCAGGACTCCTCCAGACGTGACGATTGGCATTCACTTCAATCTTGGTTTCATCAGACCAGAGAATCTTGTTTCTCATGGTCTGAGAGTCTTTAGGTGCCTTTTGGCAAACTCCAAGTGGGCTGTCATGTGCCTTTTACTGAGGAGTGGCTTCCGTCTGCCCACTCTATAAAGGCCTGATTGGTGGAGTGCTGTAGATATTCTCCCATCTCCACAGGAACTCTGGAGCTCCTTCAGAGTGACCATCTAGTTATTGGTCACCTTCCTGACCAAGGCCCTTCGCCCCAATTGCTCAGTTTAGCCGGGCGGCCAGATCTAGGAAGAGTCTTGGTGGTTCCAAACTTCTTCCATTTAAGAATGATGGAGGCCACTGTGTTCTTGGGGACCTTCAATGCTGCAGAAATGTTTTGGTGTTCTTCCCCAGATCTGTGCCTCGACACAATCCTGTCTCGGAGCTCTAAGGACAATTCCTTCGACCTCATGACTTGGTTTTTGCTCTGACATCCACTGTCAACTTTGGGACCTTATGTAGACAGGTGCATGCCTTTCCTAATCATGCCCAATCAATTGAATTTACCACAGGTGGACTCCAATCAAGTTGTAGAAACATCTCAAGAGCTCTAGCTCTAGCCTGGACAATTCGTCGGCCAGTCTGCACAGCGTGCTATCGACCCAGCGTGCTATCGACCCAGAGCTTATTGGACTTTCTGCCGGAATCACTGGACCCTAGCGCCGGATCATCACAACCAGCTAGCTAGCTGCAACCTGTTGTTGGCTGATTACCATTACCATTGCCCTATAGCAAGCACCAGTTAGCCTTGAGCTAGCCTCAGGCCCATCTCCCGGCTATCTACCTCTCTGTCAACCGGACGGGACCTCCTAGTGTTGACACTGAGCCCCGCCGATCCAACACGACTGGTTTGCCGACGAAATAGTCTGATGTGGTTTCAACAGGCTTCCCGTTGCGACGACCACGAAGATCCATCTGCCAGCCCCGGCCCGCTAGCACACGCAAACTACAACTGTGCTCCCTGCTAGCTGTGCTGAAGCACCAATTTGAACTGCTCTCGGACTCACATATTGCTGTTCACTGGACCTTATGATCACTCAGCTGCACAGCTGATGCCTGCTGGACTGTTCCTTTACACGGTACCCTGTCCTGTTTATTCTGTTTAGTCTTAGCCCAAACGTTATCGCTATTTCCAGTTGTGTCTTAGCTCTCTCTAATAACACATGTGACTGCTTTATGCCTCTCTCCCATGTCAATTATGCCTTGCCTATTGCTGTTTGGGTTAGTTCTTATTATACAATTTCAATGTAGAACCCCTAGTCCCTCTCAAACTGCCTCATATAGTTCCTTTGTTCCTCCCCCCATACACGCCGAGACCGGCTCAATCGATGCCTCCAATGACGCTATCTCTTTCATTGTTACCCAACGCTTAGGGTTACCTGAACTGTACTCATATCCTTCCATATCCTTTTCTGTACATAATGCCCTGAATCTTTTCTACAACGCCCGGAGAACTGCCCCCTTTATTCTATGTACCCAACGCACTAGAAGACCAGTTCTTAAAGCCTTTAGTCGTATCCTTATTCTAGTCCTCCTCTGTTCCTCTGGTGATGTAGAGGCTAACCCAGGCCCTGCAGCCCCCAGTATCACTCCTACTCCCCAGGAGCTATCATTTGTTGACTTCTGTAACCGTAAAAGTCTTGGTTTTCTGCACATAAATATCAGAAGCCTCCTTCCTAAGTTTGAGTTATTCACTGCGTTAGCACACTCCGCCAACCCTGATGTTCTAGCAGTGTCTGAATCCTGGCTTAGGAAGGCCACCAAAAATTCTGAAATTTCCATCCCCAACTATAACATTTTCCGTCTAGATAGAACTGCCAAAGGGGGTGGAGTTGCAATCTACTGTAGAGATAGCCTACAGAGCTCCATCATACTATCCAGGTCTGTGCCCAAACAGTTTGAGCTTCTACTTCTAAAAATCCACCTTTCCAGAAATAAATCTCTCACTGTTGCCGCTTGCTACAGACCCCCCTCAGCCCCCAGCTGTGCCCTGGACACCATATGTGAATTGATTACCCCCCATCTATCCTCAGAGTTCGTACTGCTTGGTGACCTAAATTGGGATATGCTTAACACCCCGGCCATCCTACAATCTAAACTAGATGCCCTCAATCTCACACAAATTATCAACGAACCTACCAGGTACAACCCTAAATCCGTAAACATGGGTACCCTCATAGATATCATCCTGACTAACTTACCCTCTAAATACACCTCCGCTGTCTTCAACCAGGATCTCAGCGATCACTGCCTTATTGCCTGCGTCCGTAACAGGACCGCGGTCAAACGACCACCCCTCATCACTGTCAAACGCTCCCAAAAACACTTCAGCGAGCAGGCCTTCCTAATTGACCTGGCCCAGGTATCCTGGATGGATATAGATCTCATTCCGTCAGTAGAGGATGCCTGGTTGTTCTTTAAAAGTAATTTCCTCTCAATCTTAAATAGACATGCCCCATTCAAAAAATACAGAACTAAGAACAGATATAGCCCCTGGTTCTCCTCAGACTTGACTGCCCTTGACCAGCACAAAAACATCCTGTGGCGTACTGCATTAGCATCAAATAGCCCCCGCGATATGCAACTTTTCAGGGAAGTTAGGAACCAATATACACAAGCAGTTAGGAAAGCAAAGGCTAACTTTTTCAAACATAAATTTGCATCCTGTAGCACTAACTCCATAAAGTTTTGGGACACTGTAAAGTCCATGGAAAATAAGAGCACTTCCTCCCAGCTGCCCACTGCACTGAGGATAGGAAACACTATCACCACCGATAAATCTACAATAATCGAGAATTTCAACAAGCATTTTGCTACGGCTGGCCATGCTTTCCACCTGGCTACCACTACCCCGGCCACCAGCTCTGCACCCTCCGCTGCAACTTGCCCATGCCCCCCCCGCTTCTCCTTCACACAAATCCAGACAGCTGATGTTCTGAAAGAGCTGCAAAATCTGGACCCCTACAAATCATCTGGGCTAGACAATCTGGACCCTTTCTTTCTAAAACTAGCCGCCGAAATTGTCGCAACCCCTATTACTAGCCTGTTCAACCTCTCTTTCGTAACGTCTGAGATCCCCAGAGATTGGAAAGCTGCCGCGGTCATCCCCCTCTTCAGAGGGGGTGACACTCTAGATCCAAACTGTTACAGACCCATATCCATCCTGCCCTGCCTTTCAAAAGTTTTTGAAAGCCAAGTCAACAAACAGATCACCGACCATTTCGAATCCCACCGTACCTTCTCCGCTATGCAATCCGGTTTCCGAGCTGGTCATGGGTGCACTTCAGCCACGCTCAAGGTCGTAAACGATATTATAACTGCGATCGATAATAGACAGTACTGTGCAGCCGTTTTCATTGACCTGGCCAAGGCTTTCGACTCTGTCAACCACCGCATTCTTATTGGCAGACTAAATAGCCTTGGTTTCTCAAATGACTGCCTCGTCTGGTTCACCAACTACTTCTCAGATAGAGTTCAATGTGTCAAATCGGAGGGCCTGTTGTCTGGACCTATGGCAGTCTCTATGGGGGTGCCACAGGGTTCAATTCTTGGGCCAACTCTTTTCTCTGTGTATATCAATGACGTCGCTCTTGCTGCTGGTGACTCTCAGATCCACCTCTACGCAGACGACACCATTTTGTATACATCTGGCCCTTCATTGGACACTGTGTTAACAAACCTCCAAACGAGCTTCAATTCCATACAACACTCCTTCAGTAGCCTCCAACTGCTCTTAAACACTAGTAAAACTAAATGCATGCTCTTCAACCGAACGCTGCTTGCACCCGCCCACCCGACTAGAATCACTACTCTAGACGGGTCTGACCTAGAGTATGTGGACAACTACAAATATCTAGGTGTCTGGTTAGACTGTAAACTCTCCTTCCAGACTCACATTAAGAATCTCCAATCCAAAGTTAAATCTAGAATCGGTTTCCTATTTCGCAACAAAGCCTCCTTCACTCATGCTGCCAAACATGCCCTCGTAAAACTGACTATCCTACCGATCCTTGACTTCGGCGATGTCATTTACAAAATAGCCTCCAACACTCTACTCAGCAAAATTGGATGTTGTCTATCACAGTGCCATCCGTTTTGTCTCCAAAGCCCCATATAATACCCACCACTGTGACCTGTACGCTCTTGTTGGCTGGTCCTCACTACATATTAGTCGCCAAACCCACTGGCTCCAGGCCATCTATAAATCACTGCTAGGCAAATCCCCGCCTTATCTTAGCTCATTGGTCACCATAGCAACACCCACCCGTAGTCTGCGCTCCAGCGGGTATATCTCACTGGTCATCCCCAAAGCCAACACCTCCTTTGGCCGCAATTCCTTCCAGTTCTCTGCTGCCAATGACTGGAACAAATTGCAAAAATCTCTGAAGCTGGAGACACTTATCTCCCTCACTAACTTTAAGCATCAGTTGTCAGAGCACCTTACCGATCACTGCACCTGTACACAGCCCATCTGAAATTAGCCCGCCCAACTACCTCATCCCTATATTGTTATTTATTTTGCTCATTTGTACCCCAGTATCTCTATTTGCACATCATCTCTTGCACATCATTCCAGTGTTAATACTAAATTGTAATTATTTTGCACTATAGCCTATTTTATTGCCTTACCTCCATAACTTGCTAAATTTGCACACTGTATATTATATGTATTTCTGTTGTATTTTTGACTTTGTTTTGTTTTACCCCATATGTAACTCTGTGTTGTTGTTTTTATCGCACTGCTTTGCTTTATCTTGGCCAGGTCGCAGTTGTAAATGAGAACTTGTTCTCAACTGGTTTACCTGGTTAAATAAAGGTGAAATAAAAAAAAATAAAAAAATAAAGGATGATCAATGGAAACAGGATGTACCTGAGGTCAATTTCGAGTCTCATAGCAAAGGGTCTGAATACTCATGTAAATAAGGTATTTCTGTTTTTTATTTTTTATATATTTGCAAAAGAATCGAAAACCCTGTTTTCGCTTTGTCATTATGGGGCATTGTGTGTAGATTGAGGAGGAAAAATATGTATTTAATCCATTTTATAATAATGTTGTAACATAACAAAATGTGGAAAAAGTAAAGCTGTCTGAATACTTTCCGAATGCACTGCAATGCATGTGCAGGTGTGTTGTTTCTAACACTCTCTGTGCACAGTCTGTGCTGCATGCATGTTAGAGTGTGAGACACGCATGTGAGAGTTCCAGTAATCAGCGGATGAAAGAGATAGGGGATCCAGAGAAATAAGATCAAACCGCCTCTCCTCCTCTTCTATCCGCCTCTCTCTCTCTCTCTCTCTTTCTCTCTCTCTCTCTAGCACTAGGGAGTGAGATGAATAGGGAAGTGGGCTGGGATAGGCTAGGAGAGTATGCTATTTACTCTAAAGAGAGATCTCTTCATTAAAGCTGAACCCACCAGACTGTTGGGTGATGTTAGTGCTCACTGTTCAATGCTAGAAAGTACCACCTTTCATAGATTATTCTAATGGATCAAACTTGGTGCAAGCCGAACACATTAGATCCCTCCATTTATATCCTATCCTTCTACTTCTAAGGTTTCCATTGGTTATCGTATAAGGAGAGTTAGCCTCATGTGATTTGAATAATAGTGAATGTTTTCTATTCTTAAAATAATCCTTATAGACAGAGCATCCTTGCTGCCTCTCAGGATTGCATTGAAATGAAAGAAGTTTAAATCGATTTAACTCTTATTGTGGCATGATGCTACTACTTACCGTTCCAAGGTTGGTGCTCAAGCATATGATTGATCATTTTACATTTACATTTTAGTCATTTAGCAGACGCTCTTATCCAGAGCGACTTACAGTGCATACATTATTTTTATTTTCATACCCCCTGTGGGAAACGAACCCACAACCCTGGCGTTGCAAACACCATGCTCTATCAACTGAGCTACATCCCTACCCTGGACCAATTGCGCGCCGCCCCATGGGTCTCCCGGTCGCGGCCGGCTACGACACAGCTAGCACTGTGCTGCAGTGCCTTAGACCACTGCGCCACTCGGGAGACTAGATCATCAGATGCTACTTTAACAAGGTGTCTCTGATTCACATTGATTGATGATTTGATTAAGTATAGTAATTAATCTGTCTGATGTCTGTTCATATCACGATGGATCAAACAGAGAATCTAGGGCAGACAGTCTTATAGAAGTGTTTTACTTAGTGACTGACTGTAAGTCACCTCATTAACGAATCATTCAAGTCTTCCTTAAACAAGAAGTGCAAGAGGAGATATGAAAATGTGAGAAGTAATATAGATATATTTTTTCCACTACAACACTATGGCATCGCTGTGTCACAGCCCCCGGTCCCCTATGTTGCAACAATTGAGTACCATACCGTAACAACCCTAGCTTTAGGGAGTGCTGGAGCTCATTTGGAACTGTAGATATCTTTCTCCTTACCAGAGGGTAAAGCGACCGGGGCTCCAATACGACCAGTGCTCCTACCTACACCCACCGTTGGCAAGAACTACCCTCTTCGTCTTCCTCTCCTCACACTGCAATACCACTACCATCACAGTCAACGCCGTCCAACAAAAACAATGCTGAAAAACAATGGTTGTTGTTGTTGAGGAAATGGTAAAAAATAAATAGTATAGATTACCTGACTGTTTGCTTTGTGCTTTTTATTGTTCCAATTATCAACACCTTCCTGCTCAGTAGGAGCTAGATAATATATTGGGAGCAAAAAGCTTTAGGATGTTGAAAGGCTATGGAATGGTGTGTTGCATAAAGGAATGGTTTGGCTTGGGGAAACAAAAGAGGAGAAAGGGAAGAAATCAACTGATTTACATCAACAAAGGGCTCAGATATGTATTCTATTCTCCTCCTATCACCGCAGGGTGAAACGCATGCAGTATAGAAGAATGAGAACTGGAGGGAATTGCACACACACACACACACACACACACACACACACACACACACACACACACACACACACACACTGTTCTGTTAACTCCAACCTCCAACTGTAAGATTGATCACCTCATTTTGAAGCTCAAAGCCTGGTTTTGGCCTTTACTGGAGTGTGTCATACACCATGCATTGTGAGAGCTAACTCGCTTCAGGATAGGCACGCATATCAAGCTTAAAGAGGCCAACTCTCACACATCAGACACGCATACACACATATTGGGCATGAGTGCATGTGCACACACACACACACACATATTTTTACAGCAATTTCTTCTGGCTTCAAGCCATTGCAGATTGAAACGTTTCATAAAGGAATCATGGAATTGAGGAGTGCAGAATCCTATATGATTCTATATGTAGGTCTCCTCTCCTGTCTGTGTGAGAATGGTTATGTTGATAGAGACTATTGTCTCTCCCTACCACCCTGTGTGTGTGTGTGTGTTCTAGGTGGTGTGTGTGGTGCATAACTTCAAAGGCAAGCTGTTGCTCAGTGAAGACCCCCCGCAGGACAACATGCCTAACGCTCCCATGATGAACATGTCCAGAGTGGAGAGCCCACTGGAGAAGTACATCGCCTCGCAGGTACTCAACCCTATGGCCTATATACTATTCCCTACTACACCCTACACCAGGGATGGGCAACTCCAGTCCTCGGGGGCCGGAGTGGTGTAACACTTTTCCCCCATCCCTAGCAAAAGCTGATTAACAGCTGATTAAACTAATTGCATTCTAAACTGAAGATTAGTTAATTATTGGAGTAAGGTTTGTTAGCTGGGGCTGGGGCAAAAGTGTGACACCAATCAGGCCACCGAGGAGTTGCCCATCCCTGCCCTACACCCTATGGGCACACCCTATCCCCTACACCCCTCAAACTCAACTCTGGACCTCGAAGCCAGTTCCACTGTGTTTGTTCACTCTCTATTCAGGGACTGATTTTGACCTGGGACACCAGGTGGGTGCAATTAATTATCAAGTAGAACAGAAAACCAGCAGGCTCCGGACCTCGTAGGGTAAGAGTTGAGTACCCCTGCCCTACACCCTATGTACACTATGAATATACTCTAGGATTGCTATACTGTCAAACTCTTAACATGGTTGTTTTGATCATATAGATAACGTTTTGAACTCAGTGATATGGGTCATACTAGCTGTCCATTTGAAGTGTTACCACACTGGTTTATTTGAACATGTCATTGATTAGGCTACTGACAACTAAGCTGTGTGGAGTGGAGTTTAAGAATACTCTGGCACCTACTACCATACCTCGTTCAAAGGCACTTAAATATGTTGTCTTGCCCATTCACCCTCTAAATGGCACACATGCACAGTCCACGTCTCAATTGTCTCAAGGGTTAAAAATCATTCTTTAACCTGTCTCCTCCCCTTCATCTACACTGATTGAAGTGGATTTGACAGGTGACATCAATAAGGGATCATAGCTTTCACCTGATCAGTCTATATCATGTGTTGCTAATGTTTTGTACACTCAGTGTAACTTAAACATTCTGTACATATCCATACCATTAAACTCCTGTAGGAGACAGATGAGGATGAGCCTCCTCAGTCGTTCAAAGAGCGCATTCTGGGGTTCTTTCGCTGGATCAGAGGGCGCTTTGGGCGCTTCGAGCACCTGCAGAACACAAGGCAATAAACGTATGCACCCGTTTTTGTGAGGGCTCCGAGCCTGCCTGCCAACTCTCTGGAACACATTGGCTGCATCCCAAATGGCACCCTATTCTCTTTATAGTGCACTACTTGGTCAAAAGTCTGTTCAAAAGTAGTGCTCTATGTAGGGAATAGGGTGTCATTTGGGATGCAGAACACTACACAGACAGACTGGCTGACCATCTGACCAACTGGGCCTGTTAGACAGGCAGCCAATGGGCCAAAGGAGATTCCAATCAGGCCAAGATGAATATGATGATTCAGTGTCCATAGTATTTGGCAACTCCTGGTTGAAGTGCTTTCTTTTCCTTCTTTCTCTTTTCCTTTCTGATGAGTTTCTGTTGATATAAACGACATGGCCAAAAGTATGTGGACACCTGCTCGTCAAACATCTCATTCCAAAATCATGGGCATTAATATGGAGTTGTTCCCTTCTTTGCTGCGTTAACGGCCTCTACTCTTCTGGGAAGGTTTTCTACTAGATTATTATTATTATTTTTATTTTTTTTAACCTTTATTTAACCAGGTAAGCCAGTTGAGAACAAGTTCTCATTTACAACTGCGACCTGGCCAAGATAAAGCAAAGCAGTGCGATAAAAACAACAACACAGAGTTACATATGGGGTAAACAAAACATAAAGTAAAAAAATACAACAGAAAATATATATACAGTGTGTGCGAATATAGTAAGTTATGGAGGTAAGGCAATAAATAGGCCATAGTCCAAAATAGTTACAATTTCGTATTAACACTGGAATGATAGATGTGCAAAATATGATGTGCAAATAGAGATACTGGGGTGCAAATTAGCAAAATAAATAATAATATGGGGATGAGGTAGTTGGGTGGGCTAATTTCAGAATGGCTGTGTACAGGTGCAGTGATCGGTAAGCTGCTCTGACAACTGACACTTAAAGTTAGTGAGGGAGATAAGAGTCTCCAGCTTCAGAGATTTTTGCAGTTCGTTCCAGTCATTGGCAGCAGAGAACTGGAAGGAACGGCGGCCAAAGGAGGTGTTGGCTTTGGGGATGACCAGTGAGATATACCTGCTAGAGTGCAGACTATGGGTGGGTGTTGCTATGGTGACCAGTGAGCTAAGATAAGACGGGGATTTGCCTAGCAGTGATTTATAGATGGCACATTGGAACATTGCTGAGGGGACTTGCTTCCATTCAGCCACAAGAGCATTAGTGAGGTCAGGCACTGATGTTGGGCGATTAGGCCTGGCTCGCAGTCGGCATTCCAATTAATCCCAAAGTTGTTAGATGGGGTTGAGGTCAGGGCTCTGTGCAGGCCAGTCAAGTTCTTCCACACCGATCTCAACAAATCATTTCTGTATGGACCTTGCTTTGTGCACGGGGGCATTGTCATGCTGAAACAGCAAAGGGCCTTCCCCAAAAGTTGGAAGCACAGAATCGTCTAGAATGACATTGTATGCTGTACTGTTAAGATTTCCCCTTCACTGGAATTAAGGAGCCTAGCCCGAACCATGAAAAACAGCCGCAGACCATTATGCCTCCTCCACCAAACTTTACAGTTGGCACTATGCATTGGGGCAGGTAGCATTCTCCTGGCATCCGCCAAACCTAGATTGGAGTTTGGAACTCAGCAGTTAGTGTTGCAACCGAGGACAGACGATTTTTACATGCTGCACAAACTGACTTGTTGGAAAGGTGGCATCCTATGAATGTGCCACATTGAAAGTCACTGAGCTCTTCAGCATGGGACATTCTATTGCCAATGTTTAGTTATGGAGATTGCATGGCTGTGTGCTTGATTTTACACACCTGTTAGCCATGGGTGTGGCTGAAATAGTAGAATCCACTCATTTGAAGGTGTGTCCACATACTTTTGGCCATGTAGTGTATATTCAATCAGCTGCTATGACAGGTTGTTGTACTTGAATAATTAACACTTGCAGAAGTCAACATTAACACTGTTTTATGGGTGTTGATTGAATCCACATCTTCAATTTGGTATGCCATAAAATAGCTAGCAATGTCTCATCATTACCAATGACACCCTCAGCAGGAAAATTACCTCTTCTAAACATAGCCTCAAGACATCTGACAACAACCTCAGCGTGCACAAATGTATGCCAAAGAAACCTTTTTGGAAGAAAAAAACATCTGCAAATTCTAGCGACTAGCTAGTGAGCAGCGCTATGGATAATGTGATGTGACGTATTACCAGCCTGTTCAACTACAGCAGGTGGGGTAATTCTTCCACCATCTCTTTACCCAGCAACACTGACAAAAAACAGCATCAGTCCCATTTTAAACAAACTACAACTTTTAAGGCTTAATGAAGCCTTCATAAAACTTCTATAAGGCGCTTATGAAGACTTTATGAATGCCATATGAAGCCTTTACAAGTTGTAGTTTGCTTAAAATGAGACCACTGCATCTGACACATTAATTTCGTTTCGTTGGTTTCAGATCTGGGCAGGAGGGTACAGGGGTTATATGGCAGTTGAACCACATTATCAAGGTAGCACATAGCTACAGTACATCCCTGCACCCCCCTATTTACCCACAGCTGCCCTGCCTGTTGCTGCATGGCGCCCCCCCCTCCCCCTCCCCCACCATCCCACCCCCACCCTCTTGCGTTAGTATGGGTCATTCTAAGGCTCTCACATTAATCTTGAAGTGCCACTTTTGGCTACTTTTGAAAGCGTACTGTATGACCACTAAAATACACTCGGATTCCCCCTCTCCCTTGCTTTACTGCCAGAGCTGTTTTGAGAAAAGCTGCCTGATGATGACTCCCTCCCTGCTTATAGGCATAGAGTACAGCATCCCTAGTCTTCATTGATGAAAGCAGCAGAAGCAGTATCTATCATAATGCATTAACGTTTCATGAAAGAACCAGGAAATAAACTGACATGTTGTTTCCCATATCCACATGGGGGAAAACATGGGCTTTATACTACTAGAACAGAGCAACTAGAATCTAGAGCAGATGATGTTCAGCTTCTTAACGACTTACTTAACCCTGCCTCGTTTCAAAAGCTTTCATTTCTTCTGAGATAAAAAAGACAATAATCTTTGTGTAACTCGTCTTACATCATTGTTTTTTTCTTTCCTCCTTTTAGAATCACATCACCTTCGCTGAAGTCACATGACGTTGAATCGGCCGTTTTGCAAACCCATTGGACATCAACGCTCTTCACCGTCCAATCAAAAATCTAATAGTCGGGGTGCAACGCTAACTCATTATGTACGGCTACTGTATAAGGTCTGTCTGTGTTGTTGTCTTGTCGGTCCCTGTATCCAATCCTATGCCGCAGTCATGTAAAAACTCCTCAATAGCTTGATGGAAGGTCCTTTACTGTGTTTCTCCATCTATTTACTGCATTTATTTGATCTATTTTTGGACTTAATCCCCAAATGAAGAAAATCGACCTGATTCAACTTGAATTAACTTGACTTGTCATTATAAGCAGAAATGCTGACACGCTGTGACCCAGATGCCACTTTATACTGTAGAAGAGAGGACTTCATCATGGAAGTGACTGATCCATTTTCCCACAATGTTGGTCAGATATGTTCTTATTCATTCTGCCATCGCTTCATGTCAATTATATTTCATCATTGGACTCGTTTTTGTGTACACTTCCAATAAGCATTGTTACATTGTAAGAATCAGTATCCTAAATAATGGGACGATAGGTAGCCTATGTTGTGTTGAATTTGTAGATTTGTAGATTCAAAATGGCCCTGTTGCCACATACAGGGACATATATTTCAACCCCAGATTATGAGAAATCCATACCTATGATGTTGGTTAGACTTTGATTCATGTTGCTTCATGTTGCTTCACTTTTATTCATATTGCTTCATGTTGCTTCACTTTGATTCATGTTGCTTCATGTTGCTTCACTTTTATTCATGTTGCTTCATGTTGCTTCACTTTTATTCATGTTGCTTCATGTTGCTTCACTTTTATTCATGTTGCTTCATGTTGCTTCACTTTGATTCATGTTGTTTCATGTTGCTTCACTTTTATTAATGTTGCTTCATGTTGCTTCACTTTTATTCATGTTGCTTCATGTGGTAGTTCCTAAAGCCGATGCGCCATCAGCTGGAGCTCGAAGAGGGGTTGGTTATCATCTGTGTGTCAGCGTGTGTTTGTGTTTGCGTGTGTGTGTGCGAGTTGTGAAGCCTTGAGCTGTGTGTATTGACGTGGATGTCGTTTAAGGCAGCCCCCCGCACCTCTCTGATTCAGAGGGGTTGGGTTAAATGCGGAAGACACATTTCGGTTTAATGCATTCAGTTGTGCAACTGACTAGGTATCCCCTTTTACCCTTTCTGCCACACTCACAAATCCATAAAGGGTAGATAAACTGCAGCAGACAATCACCAGCTCCTCTCTCACTCACTTTCACTCACTCACTCTCTCTCTCACACACACACACACACACACACACACACACACAC